ACGTCTCCCATCCCAAGACTCTCCAGCTTTAGCAGGGATCAGGCAGAAGTTCACTCCCCGTGATCCTTTGTGGTCTGAGGGTTTGATTTTTTTTCTGAGAAGCTGTTTGCAGTGATGGCTGTATGCATAACTATAATCTTCAACAGCAGTAGTAAGGGTCTGTACTATACTGTGGAGCTCCTCTGGCAACCTGCAGCACACACTATTGCCTCCTCAATGCTCACTTCTACTGAACATGTCCCTCAGACAGCTGATGGCTGGAATGACCAGTCTGTCCATACCAGTAATCTATAATCTGTTCCTTACTCTCAACATGGTTGGGTTCCTTTCCCTAGTGCAGCTTTTTGCACTGTGCTTCCAGAACCAGCTCTGTAAATGGGTGTTTCCCTGGCATTTCACAGGAAACCTGGGGAAGCAAAATGACTATATGCTGCTGCCTACTTTGCCTGAGCTATGCTCCTGGGAGGCCAGACCGGCTGCTGCTGTTCAAGGAGGGGTCGAGGGATATGGGCTCTTGCCTGCAGCAGCAGAAATGTGACCATCTCTCACATCACATCTCTGCAGGAGCAGCAGGCCCAGTTCTCCAGGGCACTCCCTGATTCCTTCCAATACCTTCTCCCAGCTCCATCCCCCCTCTTTCTATGCCTCCTTTTACTCTGTGGGAGCAGCCAGACCCCTCATCCTTAGGGCAGCAACGTTTAGTTTTTCAAGTACTGTTGAGCCAGCTCTGCATAGTTGTAGCATTTGGGCTTGATACAGTTTACCTGTGAGGTTCATTATGTATGGAGTCAATTGCACGGCACTTTATGCTGTAACCTGTGGACTCCAAAGATTCAAAGCATGTTGTGGTATGTGGGAACCATATGGGCTGCATACCAGCCAATGCCAGACACAGAAGATCACACAAAACAAATACCCTTGCAAGGACTGTTTTCTTCCTCCTTAGCCTGAAGACTCCCATACGCTGTCCTCCTTTCTTCTCCCCTCTGGAACAGGAGTTTAACAGACACACACAAGCATACTGATAACAACCCCAAATTTACTTTTTAAGCTCCAGTTGTCTAATCTATGATGTAGATAAACCTAGGAGAATACAAGCATTAGAAAACATTAATTATTGTGAGAGATGTTAAATCTGTGTACGTTACAGAAGAGAAAGTAAAGTTTTTTTGTCACAGACTAATGATAGTTGATGGCTTCTTAATCTAGCAGAGAAAGACCTAATGCAATTTGGTACATGGAGGCTGAAACTGGAGAAGCACAGAGACGAAACAAGCTGTGAGCTATTAATACTGAGTAGCACTGGAGTTACCCTTGGGATGATGCCCTAAGGAAAATGGAAATTCTCCACTGTTTTGCTCTGTGCCACTCAAGGCTGTATGTATAAAACATATGCTCTCACTTAAGTTCTTGGTACACACAAGTGTCTTTATGTCCTTTATGTGTGTGAAGTGTGACGAGATTGCCATAACACAACCAAAACCAGCTGACAAAGTACCCGAGGGCAATGGTTTCCTGGCCCTCCCGCTGGGTCCTCCCATGAGCAACTGGTTTATGCAGTGAGGTGATCCACAGCTGCCAGTCCTACTTTCTGCTGCATGAACTTGTCATTGCTGATTAGAAGAGAAGCAAAGCAGGGTTTTGCAGGTCTGTGTCATATCTGTCAGCACACTGCAAGCCCAGGAGGAACAGAGTAAGGGAACTAGGCACAAATGACATTTTCAACATCTTTAAGCCTCTAACACAGGTGGAATTCAGAGAACTACAACATGAAGCCTAAGTTCCCTGCGGAGACAAACAAGTACCTCAAACAGGTGTTTCAAGGTACTGTCTTGTTTTTATGCAAGTTTTTTCCCACATTAGATTGAACTCTGACACATGGACTTGCTTTGGCTGGTGTCCTTGCCCTTTTGGTAAGTTTTCATCAGCGCTGTGACTGGAACGTAATGCTCTCTCCCACCTGCAGAACTATGACAACTTTGCTTGCTAGACAAAGAGTTTCTTCTACTCTTATCTTCTGACAGCTTGTTCTCATTTATCTTTTTGTCCTTCTGTTTAGGTATTTTGGATATAGTCCTCTTAACAAAGCAGCCAATGCTTGTGTTGTGATAATGATAGTCTAACAATGCCAAGCTAGTTCTCTTGCATCTGCCAGAGAGTTTGTTTTGTCAATATTTGCTGTTTATAGTAAATTTTATTTTTTGCTGAATGATTTGTCTGCAAATTGTAAAAACTTGACATAAAGTGCTTGAGCAGACATATTAAAGATAACTACCAAGGTAAATCACTTGGCAACTGTGAGTTACTACTGGCTGTTCTTGTAACCTTCTCCCTTTATAGTCAAAACTGTTTTTCTATTTGCATTATTTAATGAAAGCCGTATTTATTATTTTTTATAATAATTTTGTGAAATGATTTAACATACAGCATAAGGAGGCACAGCTCTGTGGAATAATTGCATTAAAGAAATGGTAGCACATGGTTGTGTTGAGGGCTGATGTGGTTCTGGGCCTCCAGGGGTTAAAGCAAGGTGTGTGCAGGCAATTCTTGGGGAGGTACTCAGTGGCTGAGGAATGTCCTGGCAGTCAAGCTTCATTGCCTGGGAAAAACACAAGGCCAGATTGACATTTTAGTTAGTGACACAATCCTATTGGCTTTGCTGGTGTGAATGAGAGAACTTGACCAGTGCCTTTAAAAGAAGAATAAAAATACCTCATAAAATTCAGATTAAGAAATAACTATAGTTGTATGCTGTGACTGAAAGGAGTCAGGAATAGGTTGGGGAGCATGAAGGGAATAGCTTCTTTTCCCACTTTGGTCAACCTCAGTTCAGGAGGGGATTCTGTAAGGCATGAAGCTGTCTAGGTCACTGGGAGTAAGGATTAATACAGGCTCACACACAGTACATGATCTGTAGCCAACTGGAGTCCCTTCCACTATGAACCACTTGAGAAGTCTCTTTAGGTGACATCCCAGCAACCAGCTCCATTTCTGCCCTGGTGGGCTGGCCAAATGGGAGAGTGCCTTGCCAGATACCTGTTTCTTTTGGGTTCTTTGCTTGTCTCCACTTGGTTCTCTGGCCATCTCTGCCTAGTGCTATCCTGCTCTCTGCCTGAACCAGCTGTGTAACATATGCTTTGTCTTTTAGCTAGAAAGGAACAGGCAGTGTCATTTAGCCAAATTGCCATGAAACTGGTAATAGATGAGAAATCTAAAGCAAAACAATCTTCATGGAACTGCAAGGTCCACAGAGTCTTTGGAAATCTGAATACTTCTTTGAATAACAAGGTATAGAGCTCAGCATTTGCCTTTAACCATTCCCATGTCCAAATCTTAGCCTTATGTTTTTAGTTATATTTCTGTATTTTAGCCACTTAATCACATCAGTCTTTTTATTTGTGCATAGTAAGTGATTTGCTACTCACTGTTTCTCTGATGAGACACCAGTGAAAGCACACTATCAATGTGAAGAAAGATTTTTCAACACAAGTTTATTAAACAGCAGATCTCAGACGAGGCAATATCTGTGAGCCAGATAACCACATTTAAGATCTTGTTTAACCATGCCTAGTGAAGAGTCTTGCTTACAGTACTAGGAGACAATTTTGTTCAGTTTTTCTGCCTGTTTCTTCCATAGGCTGTTGCAAGCCTGTTTAATTCATACTGCTCTATGTGGGCAGTCTCAACAGGAGCCAAAGCACAGTTTCAGAGCATTCATGGATCTCTCATTATAACAGCACATTTTGGTGCATCCCTTCCCAACAAGCCACACTTGCTTTCTCAAGGAGATGAGACCACCTTCCATGGTGGCAAAGCAGGCCATATAAAGGGCACATGTAAATTGGCCAGGGAGATACATGTCAGCATGACTGCTGTTATCCTCAGTGAGGACAGCCTCATAGGGAAATTCTTAAAGTATCTTTGATGGAAGTAACATGCCTGATGATGGACAAAGTAAAAAGTAGTTGCTAAACCTGGGCCAGAATGAATGATCTCTTGGAAACGCGCTGGTCTGAGGCCCAAAGCCCTGGGGTCCTGCAGCCCCCCTCTGTTTCCAGTCCCTTTGGTTCCCATGTGCCCATCCTGGTCTGTTGGATATTAAGAGACAGAATGCGGGTGCAGCCAGCCCAGAGGTGGCAGTGACTGGCCTGGGGCAGAGGGCAGCAGCAGGCAGCACCCTCAGTCCCAGTGGCCAGGCTCTCCAGGCAGTGACACTGCCAGCTCTGTTTGAGTAACACAGGTAATATATATTATTAAGTAAATTTATATTCATGTAAAAGATTGCTGCACATAAAGTAGTTCAATAAGTGGTATCAATAAAGTTGTGTGCTGGCAGCTATCTTTAGAAATGCTTGAAAACTCAGACCAGTTGGTTTGAGCTATCTTGTGTGAGATGGCCTAAGCATGTGCGAGTAGGATGGTGTCCTCTCGTCAAGAGAGCCATCATCACACTAATCTGGTTTTCATGTCCATCATGGCACCAACCCCATGCGCTGGGGGCTGCCTACAACCACTGAAGGGTGCTCCATTAGCTCCTCCAGGCTGTGATGGGTGGTGAGAGCAGTACTGCTCTGTGGATGCCAGCTCCCTGCCTGGCTGCTCCACGGGAAACACAGTTGTGCCTTGGGTCACACCGGTTCTGAAGGCTGGGTGATGACTGCAAGGGGGATCTCAGGAGTCAAGGGCCCGACACTTGCCCGTCTGAGAGGCCCGAGGTAGCAGCCTAAAGCTGCCAGGTGCTCTACCCAGGACCTCCCAACACCGTTCGACTTTTGCCCTGACGCGCTGGGCAGAGCAAGATGGCTGCCCAGCGCAGAGGCAGCAGGAGCGCTCCCACTGGAGGGGGCAGCTAGCAGGCGCACCGGGAAGCACGGCCAAGGATGCCTCGTCAGCAGCGGCTCGTTCTCCGCACCCCAGCCTCAGCGGAAGCCCCTGAACGTACAGGGTAGGCGGGGAGAGAGATGGGTCCGGCCGCGGCAGAGGGCGGGTTAAGACTCCGTTCCCCCGGGCCTGTCCCTCATCCCCCGCTGGGTGCTGCCTGCCCCACCTGCCTCGCCGCCGAGCCCGAAAAGGGGTTAAAAGCCTGGGGCGGGTGATGTCAGTTCCTGCGCTCCTCGGGAGGGCTGGCTCTGATATTTGAGATGGGCTCCCCCGCTCTAAGTTAAACGGAGCGGGGATGGTAAAGTGCTGAATGGGACAGAAGCCTCGCCGGACACCTGCCTGCTACTCAGCACCGCGCAGCCGCCCGAGGTCAGGGCCGGCACTGCCGGTCTCCCTGCTGCCGCTCCAGCTGCGGAACCCGCGGATACTGCCGGCTGCGCCTGTCACTGCCCCGCTCCGCCGGGGCGAGACCCCCTCGCCGGCCAAGGTGAACGCGGGCGGAGAGGTGGCCCGATCCCCCTCGCCGGCCAAGGTGAACTCGGGCGGAGAGGTGGCCCGATCCCCCTCTTAGCTGCCGGGAGTGGCGGCTGAGGGCCCGCGGGTGGGAAGAGGGGGGTGGGCGCTGGAGGGCCGATCTGTGCGGGACTGGCTGTCATAGCCCTTCTTCTCCACTCTTTTCTTTCTTCCAAGTGACGGCAAGGGGCTGACTGGCGCGTTCCGGGGTGATGTTGTGTCATCTCTGATAATCGAGGTTTGCTGCTTCAAATAAATTGCTTGCCTGCGGGTGTGGGACTTTGGTCACTGAGACAGCATGGAGGAGGTGGGGGGAGGAGCGGCGACACGGGGGAGGGGGGGAATGCAGCCCAAGAGCAAGTCCTGCAGTCTCTTCTGCCTCCCTGCTGTGTGGGCAAGGCCTCTGGAGGCAGAATGACAAAACGCGCCCTCTTCCTACCTCCTGGCACTTCTGCTAGTCAAGTCACCTGCGCTGATGTAGAGGAATTCTTAATCCCCCCCCCCCCCCCGTTTAGCACGTGATTTTTCCCCATGTCTTGCACATCCCAGGTAGCATTTATGAACTGCAAATGATCGAGTGGCTGAACAATTCCAGTGATCTCAGGGTTAAAAAGCTGGGTGTTAAAGTGGTTGTGAAGTGGAAAATGAGGTGACTGCGGGGGGTGAGTTCCTTAATAGTATGATATTTCCACACTGAGTTTTGACCAACACCCATACTGCTGACCCTCTTGGTGTTGATGCAGTGGCATGGGAAGAAATCTCTCTCCTTTCACATGCTACGTTTATTGCACTTGTAGTTATTCCTTTCGTAGTAAGATGGTAGCTGAAAGTTAGATTCAGCTCTGGTTTTCAGGCAGGGTCTGGTGCATTTTACTGGCAGGTGCACTTCTGTGCTGATTGAATCTCTGTAACAGCCTGGGTAAACTGATTCCTGAGCTGAGGAGAAACTGGCATTTGAAATACAGAAATACTGTTTCACTTGTCTGCGTTGTTTACACTGAATGAACAAAGCTGCAAACATTTTGCTTGCATTTGTGCCAGCACCTGAAAGTCTTCATGTTGATTTATTGCTTTTTGTTTTCAGAAGGCTTGGTGGAAGTATGTGAAGTTTCTGAAGTGTTTTGAATTCTAGTCTGGATCCACCAACATCAGGAACATAAGCTGATTCAGATCTAAAATCTTGAAAAATCCAAACCCAGTGGTGACACTCTGGTGTAAAATTTATGTTCATCGGAATTACAACTGGATATAGGGACTCCAAGTAAATATATTAGTATTTATTTTGACTATAGCATTTGGTGTCGGAATTGTCTGTTGATTTCAACTTCCATATAGTCAAAAGTGGAAGTCTCATGTCTGCATTTAGCAGTTGGTTCAGTCATTTAGTCCCCCTCCTAAGTTCTAAGGACTTTGTAGCTCCCATTATCTTCACTGGAAGTTGGTTGACACTTGAAAATCAAGCTGTTCTTTAGAAGAGAATCTGTGCATTTAAGAATGAAGTATTGGAAATCTCAGCTTGTTTGAAGAAAGTGGCTGCCTCCTATTTTCCAAGTTCCTAAAGTAAGAATACATACACTATTCTGAAAGTGTCTGATTCTCAACTTCTTTATATGCCAAAGGGGGGAAAAAGAACCAGTTTTGTATAATCATATAAATATGGTGTATATAACCATATAAATATTTTATCTGATACAAAAGGACCAGTTTGGTGTGGGGATCAAATAATTTAGTGGATTAAGATGGTTAAGAATTGCAAAAAAAGGCATATTGAAATGATAGGTCCAGTAGCAAGGATTTAAAATTAATCTGTCAAAATAAAGTTGATACTGTAATTCATAAAGTACAGTTGTTCAGAAGAATGGGTGAGAATAAATGATGCATTTAACAGTAAATAAAAATTTGGAATAAATTTTAAATTGTAAATAAAGTTGTCATGGGTAAACATGAGCCATTGTGATAAAATATCCTCTCTGAAAAAAGGGTGAAGTTTTACTAGAGAGAGGAAAAGCTATAATTGTAATCTCTGGCCTTCAGAAATCAACTGATATAATGACACACAGGGAAGTTATTAGCTTAAGTGGAAGAGCTGGGAATTAATGGAAGAGTGATAAGGTAGACAAATTACAAAAAAGAATGTGACAACGCTGTGCTGAAGGGTGGGGGAGGAGTCTGTTATAAGGTAGGTATTTTCTATAGGTAGATATTTTGCAATCAGCTGTAGGGATAATCTCCCCAGGGAAGTGATGGACCCTTTTAAGATTTGGATGCATAGGTGCTGGGCCATCTAGTCTAGATCATGCTTTGCTAAGAAAAGTTGGACTGGATGATCCCTGAGGCCCTTCCAGCCTGGTATTCTGTGATTTTTCTGGGAAAGTTGGCTGACCTGCAGAATTAGTAATGATTAGTATTGACACAAAGTAAAATCACACCTTTGAAATAGTAATAAAGTGGGCACAAGCTGGAAGAACACTAGTTAGGAACAGCAGTGGAGGAAAAGATGTGGATATGCTAATCGATTTCAGGGCAACCATGGGCCTGCTAAATTTTGCAGTGGCCTGTAGTACGGATATTCTTGATCTTGTGGAGATCTGGCACACACCTGTTCTTTATTAATCTATTCCAGTATCATTGTAATGGGCCCCCTGCACTTCCATGCCTGACATTTGCAAAGTTAAAACCTGTGTTGGCTTGTCTGTGAATGTCAACCATAAATGTAATGTGGTTCTAAGAAAGGCAAATGCAGTCAGGTGAGGTATTCCCTAGAAGAGTGAGAAGTATTAAATGCCTTTACACAAGGTTTTGATGAAGCTGCATCCTGCCTTTCAGATGCAGTTGTGGTCACCCATGTCTATGGATGAGAGTAAAAAAGATAGGATCCAACTTTTCTAAGCTGGAACAGGTGCAAAAGGAGAGTAGTGACCTTTTCTCGTGAGACTAAAAGAGGCCCTTATCTCTAGCCTTGCAAAATGAGGATTTTAGAGAGAAGCTTTTGATATTTATAAGTATATCAAGGGATAAATAGGAGGGAAGGGGGAAAAACTAGTTAAGCTTAAGGGCAGTAATCTACAAGAATGAACAGATACAAGCTGGTTGTTATTATATTTATGCTGGTAATTAGAAGGCAGCTTATTAGAGGGGTGAGGTTCTAGAACAACAGGAGTAGTGGGAGCAAAACTGCCTCCATGGTTTTGGGGAAGGGCTGTGTTCATTTATGAAAGGGATTATGAGACACAGTTATTTGCAGTGAGAAGGAAGAAGACTTAATGATTCAAGTTATCTACAGTCTTAGATTTCCTATTCAGAACAGGGTATTTTAGTTCAATCAGAAGTTATGGACTATCTGAGGAAATTACTTTTGCTCTGGCATAGGCTGTGTGGTAAATCAGATTCATTTTTCTTTGTGCAATTAGAGTTTATCCCAATTGTTCATATGTCCTCATTGGACTTAAACTATGTATAAAGACTAAAGTATCTTTATACCTGTCTGAAAGAGAACAGAATTTAATTTGAGAGTTGAATTATGTCTGGGACAGGGTTAGCTATAAGCAAGCTTAGGGTGTTGTAGGATCATGACTTAGTACACTCTTTTGGCTTGGAGAAGGACTGATCACACTATATTAGAGGGAAACCCTACAGTGTTATTGTGAAGTGTGCCTGTCAATACCTGGCAAGGAGCTAGGTCTAAAGTTTTGATCAATGTGCTGGACTAGGCTGTTGTAAAAGTTGGTCCATGTGTTTCTGTAAAGCAGTAAGTGTGCTGCTTGTGAAATACTGGTCTTCCTTGCTATCTCGGAGTGTATTCAGCATGGACATGAGTGTGCCTTTTCCTTGTTTTACTTAAACCTACTTTCTGACCTGGAATAGTATTTCATACATCAACTGGAAAGGCAGGCAACTTGATGCCTGGTAGACTTTCTATTACTGAAGAGAGAAACCTGTATATAAGATAACTCGCAGGTAGTGTTTGTAGCTAAAGGATACAACACGTCTTCCTTAATTCAGAACATCAGGGGTATATCTGCTTAGAGTGGCTTGCTGTGTTAGGTATACTTACACTGCTATGTGTGTTATACTAAGGGTAACTTGAATATCAGGTCTCTTAGGCAAAATATGAGCCAGTTATCCTGGCAAGTGGGTACAACTAGAGGAACACCTTAAGCTTTTCTACCCTGCAAAAGGCAGATGTAAAAGCAATGAGGCGGAGTGACTTCAGTACTCTTTCCCAAGTCTTGGTCTGTTGCTTTGGTCCCAGTTCAGGAAAGCCCCAGGTTTGCCTGTGAGTGGATGAGAAGTTCCTTTAGTAAGTATAGATATCAGTGTTTCGATGAAGCTGATGAACTAATAACTTCTGGTTTTGTAAACATTTGTTGTGGTAGGGTAATACATCTGGCTGCTGGACTGCACACACTGGGTTGATATTATATACCTCCTTGTGAGTGTTCAGAAATTCTGGAATTTGATTAAGGACACCTACTACCTTCATGTCACATACTTTGTACTCATAGCAAGTTATCTGAAATGTCTAAACAATTACTAAGTAAGACAATAAAATAACTTCAAAAAACCACAGCTTTTTCCACTTTGTGGAGTTGTGTGTGTCTCTTGATGTCTACAAGGACTTCAGTAGACCTGCATGACTTGTTCAGCCCTAGCTTTTATTCCTGTCTGGGATCTCCTTATTTTTTAACAGAACAAGTGTTTAAATAGTGTGGTAAGCTACTGTTATTGTGGACTGACTGTATCAAGTAATTAGGGATTGGGAACACTGTTGCTTCATATATCACATCCTCTTAACACAGTCTGTGTGAGATAAGACACTAGTGCCCCAAGTTAATAATTGGTTTTGTGACCTGAATTACATTTGAGAAGTTTTAGTGGCTTGAGAGCTTGTAGCCATATCAGTACAAAGGAGGCAGGAGTAAAAATAGTCCTAGTCTATAGGTAGATGCTGAGCAAGGCTGTAAGGGTGATAATAAGGCTGCTTGTGGAATATACAGCATGATGTAAATTCTCACTTTAAAGAGGAAAACTTATTTGAATGTTTATCTCCTATCCATTAAAAGAGTGAGCTCTGATAAAAGGCAGTATCAGTAACTTGGGATTGTACCATTTCATCTTTTGCTTGCAGAGGAAATGGCCTTTCTTACCAGTCCTGTAAGATGGAAAAAGGAATACAGGGCACAAGGAGTGAAAAGTTTGCCTGTCTAAAACCACTTCCCCTCACCCCCTTTTCTCCTCTAGGATTTTTAGAGCACCTCAGACGACATCCCAAATGTATGATTAACTTCACAATGGCAGAACTCACAGTGGAGAATGGCAGCTGTGTGGACTGGCAAAAGCGATGCCTTGTATTGGAGTCCCAGCTCTTCAAATTCCGCTTGCAGGCAAGCAAGATCCGAGAGCTGCTAGCTGAGAAGGTGAGGCACTGATGGCTTCTTCTAGTTTGCACTGAGTTATGGCATGAAAGCAAAAAAATCTATAAATGCTGAGCTATCCAATAAAACTGTTACTTGCAGTGAGGCTCCCTTCCTTGATTACAGCGTGTCACTGAACTCTGCTTATCACTTGAGATACAGAAATGTGCCTGTCGGAGTGGTGTAAAGTGGCGTTAGTGAAAATAAGAATTTGGCCTTGTTTACTGGAATGTCATATACTTGGTCTCTGCTGCAAAAGCGTGTATCAGCAAGATTCTGGATATCTAAAATGACTGAGGCAGCTGCAAAGGTGAATATTTTGGATAAAACCAGCAGGATCAGGACTTGGCTGGCAATGGAGAAGCTTACAGGAGTGCAAATTATTCTGTAACGCTAAAAGGCTGGACAGGGGTATGTGTACTGTCATAGTGTTAGAATAACATCGCATATCCAGTCAAAACACTCTGGGGATGCTGAAAAGCAGGACTGAGATATTGAGATCTGGATGTTGGAAAATTTCATGGCATCTGTGGTTTTGTAGGCATCTCCTACTAATCTCTTTCAAGTGTGCTAATTGAACTCATCTGCAATTCTAAGAGAGAGGACTGCCAAAGATTTTAGAGGGGTTTGTTGGGTAGGTTCGGTTTGGTGGGTTTTTGTGGTGGGGTTTTTTTCATCATGATGTATATTTTTGGTGAGGTTTTTTCTTTACCTTAAATTCAGTTATTTTTTCAACTTATATTAAAGCTTTTTTATTAACCTCTAATTTGCATAGAATCCAACTTTGTAGGTTGCTGTGGGGTTCCTTCTTTCAAAATTTGGCTTACATTACCACAGTCAGTCCAAGGTTGCTCAGATACTCAGTTACTATTGGGAAGTGAAAACAGTTTCTTTCAGTCACAGTTTGCTAGTGAAGTTGAAATCTTTACAACTGTCTGCAGTTTATTCCAAATGCTTTTAATCTGTACCTGATGAAAGGTATGTTCTAAACTCACTTCTGCTCTATTTTGTATTATGGAACTTTTATGTATATATTCTTGTTGGTTGATTTTGGATGTAAAAAAATCCAAACTGTATCTACTTCACAGTAGAGCAATCTTCATCCTTGCTTTTCATCACTGTTATGTTTCCACTAATGCCTTTAAACTGCATGAGACATTCATTGCACTATTCATGTTTTAAGAAATAATGCAATTCTAAGAACATTCTTCATCTTTTCAAGGTAGCTTCTGAGATGAGCCTTAGTGATTACTTATCTTGGGAAGCACTGAAAGTGGTTGTAAAGTATATTTAGATAAACGTGCATTAAAAAATCCATGTGTAGATGTGGCACAGCTCTGGTGAAGATGACCAGTACTTATGTGCAATACTTTGCTTGTGCTTTATTAACTTCTGCATTGAGAAACTTCCTGACTGCCTCCACATAAAACAAACCCACCTACCAAACTTTCTTTTTGGAAAGAAAAAAAAAATCTTCTTATTCTTTTGAAAGATCTTTTGACTGTCTCTTTAGGAAGGTTTGTGAGTGATGGTAGAGAACGAAATTTTCATCTGCTCCAGGGTCCTTCTCAAGGAATGGACCTGACTGCTGTTAATCCAGCCTTTCATTCATTCAGTCAAAGTGATGTTCCCTTCGTTCAGATTAAGGAGCAGCTTGGTTCGGTGATCAGATTACTCTGTAACTACTTGTTCAGCACTGTCCTAGGCTTTCTCAAAGGGTAAAGAGCTAGCAGGTTTGAAGTTCCCTACTCTGAATGTCATGTGGGAATGGGAGAGCCTTGGGGACTCTGGGGCATCTCTGGCAGGCTCTCCTGAGGCACCAGAGCACACAGTGCTCATGCTGAACACTATAGTTGAAGTGTCCTGTGACTCAGGTTCCTGACTGCTGTGCAAGGACTTGTTCACAGACTCTTCTTCACTAGTCCTTGATCATCACAGGACTCCCCAGCAGTCGCAGCAAATGGGACTCTGGCCCGCACTGCATCCTTCTCCCTCTCAGATGGGCAGTGATGCTGAACTGAAGGAGATGCATGTGATCTGCATAGTGATGTCAACTCCAGCGATTTTTATCATAGATTTTATAGCAACTGTGGGGTTTTTTTTCCATTTTTTCTTACAGTTCTAGCTGTGAGAATGAAGATATTTGGACTTATTTGAAAGAGTACTGCATCTGCAAAAAGGTTATTTGAGTGGGCAGGGACAAAGATTGTGAAAAATGTGAAGTGGGCACAGTTTGAAGCTGTGTTGCCAACCTGCGGTGAGCATTGCCCCTGAGATCCTCTGATATTGTTTGCAGCAACAGGAAAATAATAAAATAATCACAATAATAAATAAAATTGGTTTTGCTAGTGAAAGTGAAGAGCAGTGTCAGCAGCAGCATGATACTTGCTCACCAGCATGGTTGTCTCAGGGGTCTGGAAGCTACTGGTTGAAAGATCTGGAAACCTGTTCCCCCACATTATTTTAAAGTAATCTTTATAACTAACTTTATGATTTAAAAGGCAGATTTTACTATTTTAACTCACAAAATACCCTAAACACTCATGCCTGGCATTGGTAGTACAATGTGTGCTAACAGTTTAAATACTTCAGATTTTTAAAATCCGCTTAGATTGAATAATCTAGATCACTGTTCAGAACATGAGGAATTTAAAACCCGTTGGTTTAACTGCCAGTGCCCTAATTCACATGGTGTGAACTTCCATGTCAGTAGCCCAGTCGTAGCTATCAACCAGTGCTGCCCAAGCTGTGCAGAGCCTGACTGCAGGTCGGTGCAGCAAAGGGACCCCATCCGCTGGCCTCCAAGACAAAGCTCTGCCATCCTGCTGGGCCCCTGCAGCGTATGAGACACCTGGGTCTTGCCTTGTTGTAGACATCAGCAGGGATCTGGTCTCTTTGGAAACATGCAGTTGTTTCTATTCTGACTTTCTTGTACACACACACACAAAGAAAGGGATACTCCTCTCGGTGAGTGACATAGCAGGCTGTTGCCCTGGCAGCAAGTTGACCTGGTTAGGAGTGAGCTCTGGAAGGAAACAACAGGACGAAAATGAGGCTGAGACATGCAGGAACTTTTTTGACTCAGTTTTATTCAGCATATTCTGAGCCATTAGGAGAGGGAAAGCCTCTGTCAATGATTGATAGGAGGGTCTTTTGCAGCTTTTAGAAGGACCATCTGGGTAACTTTCAACCTGCTTCTGTCTTACTTCAATAGTAAACAATGAATATTTGGAAAGAGCCTCCTTTGGCTCATGCAAGCACGGCTATACAACTGGGTCTGTTACTCTCCATACAAGCTCTCTGGGCTAATGTTTGGGAGAAGAGTTACTAGAAGTTGGCTTGGTCACTAAGTTTTATGTGACCTGGGTCAAGTTGCTTAGTAACGTTTGTCAAATTATAAAGCATTTCGAATGAAAGGACCCATGTAAATACCAAGCATCATTATTAATTCACTGAGGGATTTGAAAGAGCCTTACAACCATGGATGTATTAAATCTGAATGCGCTCCAGTGAGATAGCTGACACCAGGGATAGGTGAAGTAATCATTTTGTGCACATGAGAAACACAGGAGTTATTTAACAGTTCATAGCAGGACAACCCAACAATGTAGTACAGGAAGTTAAGAAAAGTGCAAGTTCATTTAAGGCTACAGAGGGAATCAGGGTGACAAAAGTAATTGATTTGACTGGAACTTAGCCAGGTCACCCTGCTTGCACAAGAAATTTCATAACTCTTAAGTGATCAGGAATGGCCCCAACATGCATTCTTTGTCCTGATCAGGGTCCAGGACTGCTAGCAATGCAAAGCAGACTGTCGTGAGGCTGGGACAACAAGGTGTTTTTCAGTCAGAACAGTGTTGCCTTCTTAAAATAACCTGAGTCTTTCAATGAAAATCACCCACCTTGTGGAGGATTAGATTATTAGTCTAAGAGGATAGTCTTTGGGCTCCACTTAGCATCTGTCTTTCACCAATGTATTTGGCTGCTGCCTGTCTATAGTGATGATTGTCCAGAGACTACTAGATAAATGCATGGGTAGATCTCTGTTCCTAATGGACACACACTCGTGTCATAACCCAGACCACTGCTATTGGTGTTACATTGCCTTGAGTTCAGTCTCTACCAAGACTCAGAAACTCTCAGGCCTTAGGTCAGAGCAGCTTTGGCTGGCTGTGCAATATCCTGTGGAATCTCTCTGTTCCTCTGCCAAAGAAATGTTCTTGATATTAAGCTCCATAGACTGTAATGTCCTTGATTACTTCACTGAAAAGGCAAACCTGAAGAGGTATCATGCTAAATGTGGCACTTTCTGATCTTCATGGTTTGAATTTGTTATGGCATGGCCTTTTAAGTTATATGACCGTTGAGCTGTCTACATATATATACCTTCTTGATATGTTTGTTGATAGGTGTCAGTCTGCTCTTATGATCAATGTGTATGTATGAAAAGGAGAGTTGTCTTGTTACCATCTCATAGCAGCCTTCCAGTATCTGAAGGGGGCCTACAAGGATGCTGGAGATGAGCTTTTCATTAGGGACTGTAGTGATAGGATAAGGGGTAATGGGTTCAAAATTTAACAGGGGGAGTTTAGATTGGCTATAAGGAAGAAGTTCTTTACTGTGAGGGTGGTGAGGCACTGAACAGGGTGCCAAAGGAAGTTGTGAATGCTCCACCCCTGACAGTGTTCAAGGCCAGGTTGGACAGAGCCTTGGGCGACATGGTTTATTGTGTGGTGTCCCTGCCCATGGCAGAGGGCTTGGAACTAGATGATTTTAAGGTCCTTTCTAACACTAACTATTCTACTATTCTATGATTTGTTTTCTGCTTGCAGCATGATTTTTTTAATTTTCTGAAGCTGATTCTATGTCATTCCTTCATTAGAAAAAACACAAGTAAATGCTGGAAACTCTGTGGAGCATTCCTTAGATGTTGCACCTTAGTGGATGAAAGTTACTGTCACTGGTTTCGTAGTACTGGACTTAAATCTGAGTCCCATTGAAGAAGGTCAAGTAGTGGAAGATGAACCAAGGACACATTGCAAGTACTGAATGAGATCCTTAGTTGCTGTTTAAAAAATAAAACAGACTGGGCTCTAGTAGTAAGTTGTTAGAGGAACCCCAGGTACACCTGCATTTCAGTGGGAATGAGGCAATTCATATACATTTAGGTAAAATTCTGTTCAATATCCTTTGACTTCAATAGCATCAGTGCTCCAATAGAGAATCACAGAATTGTCAGTTTGCAAAGCTCTTTAAAATTAAAAGAAGCATAGAAAACCTAAGATCATTATTTATCTTGTCAGTTATGAATCTGTGGTGTTTTGAAGCCAAAGGGAAATATTCATTGATTGTAATGTGACATCAAAAGGAACGTGCAGTGAGCTTTCTAAAATGTAGTCATTTTTATTTACCATTGTGAATGAATCCTAGCTGAAATAAACCCAAGAAAGGACAGTGTGCTGTAGACAGGCTTCTACAAGGGACCCTTGGTGTGTAAATTGTAGAGATGAGGTCAAGACTGTTCCTCTGACCCATGTAATGAATGATGAGGCTCACTAACGAGAAAACAGTTCTGGTAAATTCAAAGTAGGGCAGAAGGCTAGAAAAGGGCAAAGGAATTTATTGGGTTTTTTTAATTCCCCCTGGTCAAAGCTGTCCATTTAACCCTAAAGATGCCAAAGATCTGTAGACCTGCACAAGAAATGGAAGACTCCTGAGTAAAACTGGTGAATTTCCAGGTGATGTTAATTTCTTTTCTTTCTTCCCACCTTTCCCCTCCTCTTCTGGCTCTGAAGATGCAGGAATTGGAACAGAGAGTGGTAGAAGCAGAACAAAGAGCTGAGGATGCGGAGAAACAGGTAAGAGATTCTCTTATGGTTTCTTTGGTACAAGCCCAGCAGTAGCTTACTCTGAATTCTCTCCAGTCTAGCATGCAGACAGCACTCTGCAGTGCTGTGCCCTGCTAGGAAAACATTGATTTACAGTGGTAAATTGATTTTTCTGGTCTCCTTCACAGTTTTTAAGCTTGAGCTATTAACAGGTGCCTAAATATGTTCAACCCTAAGTGAAAACCAGCAGTTTGTATTTGCCTCTCAACAGCATTTAGCCCTGTCATCCGTGATATACGTGCTCAGTTATGGTAAAGCAAGTGGATATTGGACCTCAGGATTAAAGCACAGGGGTAGAGCTGCCTGGTAGGTCCTTAGGAAAAAAACCCAAAACTTAAAGAGTACTGGTAAGGACTTGTCTACAAGTGGAGAAGGTTCTGTGAAAGGGAGTATCTGCAAAGTCTATCAGTTGTTTTGTACTTTTCATAACTACTGCTCTGGCTTCAGGACCCTATGGAGAAAGACAGTAAGAGCTGGATACAATGCATATTACTGTAACCATCTAAAAAATAGGTATATTGTCTAAGCTAGTCCTTCTATGCTTCTTGAATAATGGACAAGGGAGGAGAGATAGAGACTTCAGCTTGTGAACAAGCTATAAAGAATAATAGACCTTTGGGAAAGTTACAATGTGCACTGTGAGGAGTATTATAAAAACAAAAGAGCCAGGAGGGACAGATGTTCTAAGCTGAAGGGAAGGTTTGAGATGAGCCAGCTCTCTTCAACTGGGCAAGAGCTGCAGGGCTGAGCACTGAGCCACAGATTTCAGTGTGGAAGTAAAAGCCATGCAAGATGGCAAAGAATGGCTGTCAAAGATCACTTCAGTAGTGAAGGACTAAATAGGCAGTGTTATAAGCACAGGGAATCATACTGCCTAGGAACCAAGAACTTGAAGTACCTGGTAAGGTATTCTGTCTGCAGAATGCACTATTCCATGCCAGTTTCATACTGACATCAAGATTTTTTTCTGACCAGCTTAAATATAGGAAAGATGCTAGGCACTGTGCTGTTGGTCTCTATGCTAGATCAGCAACTGCCAGTCAAGAACGAAAGTTGTTATTGAGAGTGATATCAGTAAGTCCACACCCAGCCAGGACAGGCAAAGGTAACATTGTCATTGTGACACCATCATCAGGAAATGAAGATATTGCCACAGACCAATGAAGAAGGTTTCATACTAGCAGATGTCTCAATGACAGGAGTAGGCTATCCATGATATAGTAAGATGCAATTACAAGATGGAGTAGATGTAGAGCAAGGCCAATTCAGGCCTAAGAATGGGCAAGAAAAGAACTTTGCTGGGAAGGTGTAGGAAAAATGAGGGTTGCTTTCACTCACCTGCCACCAGCAGAAGTGAGGTTTGCCTTCACTAATCTGCCACCAGCAGTTCTGCAGCCATGTGTTGGCAAGTTCTAAAGACTAGCAGCCCTCAAAGTTTGCCTTTCCAGCAGCCTTATCCACATCCGAAGAAAGTGCTCCTAGAGAAGTACTTCATTGCTGTCTGACAGCCTGAAGAAGTGACAGCGTAGGAATAGGACTGTTCCCTTTCACTAAAAGTATATTCACTGTGAACGAGAAGCAGCTGACAAATGAGAAGGCTCCACATCAAGTGCAAAATCCCTTGTTATCTTTCTCTCCAGGAGCCTGGGGAGTTGGATTTGTTAATTCAATGGGCTCCCTGTAGCTGCCAAGCTCAATTAAGGAAATCACATGTTTGCAGTCCCCTCTCTGAGCCTCTAGTACAGAGTCAGCATTTGGGCATCAGACAGAAAGGAGGGGCCATTTCTTTTTACTATAATCACCCTAAACTCCAATGAAAACACATCCGACTCAGCAGGCTTAGTTTTCTGGCTCGGATGTTGGGCGCCTACCTTTCTGGTTCAGTATGAGGAAGAGGCAGTTTGCTTCTCTGCCTAATGCAGGCAGACAGCAGGACAAAACACAGCTTCTGCAAGTATGAAGTGTAGGCTGCTCAACAAAGCATGAGTAACTCTCTTGCACAGACTGTGAAGGGTTCAGATCATTGCCTGCACTCTGACTTCCTGGTTCTAAACTCAAGCCAAATTAATGGTATCTGGAGTTGGTTTCTTTACTGGTTGAGTCTCTCTGGGATCTGTTGGAACCAGATATTTTGCCATCACCAAATGGTGCAATTAGCAGTTTTGAGTTAAGTTGATGGAATTCCATTAATCCTTAGAAAAGAAGTCTTGTAATCTGTTGCAATAGGATGAGGTAACAATAAAACAGGCTGACATATCAAGAGGCATGGGTTTTGAAGAAAGCAGAGGTTTTACAACATCTGCTAAAAAACCCAAAAGCATTAGCAGCAGCTAGATTTTAGTGCACTGAAACTTTGTCTACATTGAGGGAGCATTACACTGGTGATTCTCCAGCTGAGTTGAACAAACATTGGCAGTAGTAAGAGCTCAAAGGCAGGCAAAGCTTCCGAAAAATCTGGCATGGTAACTCCTTAGCAGATCTTGAGAAAACGCCTGTCAGAAAGCTAGGAGTTGCCAAACTATTTTCTAAGCTGGGAAAAGGAGGAGGAAGGCACTCTGTAGCATGCTTCCTTATAAAAATCTTGATCTGAGGGAAATTGCCGGGGTTTTGTGGTGTATACCTTGGTAATGAATGTGGCAAAAAGCTGATCGCTGTATTACGAGGAGGAAAATGTGATGTTCCTTGCACATATGTCTGTGTAGACTATAGTGCCTGTATTTAACTAATAGCATGTAAATATTTCACAATTCACAGCGTGGTTAGGTGTTCATGGTTCAGTTTGCATCTGTTACTGCTTCAGCATTACTAACAAATGGACAGTGTTCTTTTCACAAATACAGCTATAAACTGTAACCTAAAGGGTTTCTTTTTTCTTCCTTTCCCAACCCCAAGAATATGAAACGCACAAATGCTCTTAGTTAGTGTCTTACCACTAAACAAGTAGCTCCTTCATTTGCATTGTTCTGTTTTTTTTTAATCTCCCTCTGATTGTCATCACAGGTCAGAGTTATGGAACAGAATATAAAACTAGCTAACTTGAAGACTGGAGAATCAGACAGCTCTTTGCACAGGAAGTACCAGGAGCTGATGGGCACATTGCAAGGAAAGGAAGATCAGATCAACAGATTGGAGACACAGCTAGCGAAACAGGTAAAGCTGTTTTCTACAGGGAGACCTGTAGCTTTCATGAGTTGGAGGGACTCTGTAATGTATGTCTCAAAGGTATGGATTATTGTCTTCATTACATATTAGTCTCCCAGTTGCCTTCAGACCAGCTGTAAAATTATGCCCCGTTCAGTGCAAGATTCTCTCATTCCTTGCTCTTTCTAGACAAAAACATGCATTCAGCCTCAGTAGCCCTTTTCTCTTCATTATATTAGGTTGGTCAGTGTCCTTAAAGGACCTCCTTATGTTGGTGTTGAGTCAGTGTTGAGACCCTGACTGGAGTAATGCTAGAGTCTGGTCACAGTATTTCTCTGGCTTCCTAGCATATAGATTGTTCTGAAAAAACATTATGTAGCCCATCTCTGACTCCATATATGCTACTTCCTGGGAGGAGATTTTTCCCAGTCTTAAGCAATCCTTTAGTGCAGTTCATCTCTTGTCAGATGTCCTCACTATAAAAGAGCAGCTGGTTTCCAGTATGGATAGTTCTTAGTCCCTTCCATTCCCAGTTAGTGGAAAGAAGGAGCTACAACTACAGCAGGGCTTATATTTTGGCTCTAGTAAAGGCCTTGCCCTGTGGTCTTTGTAATATGAGGAATGTGGCATCCTTACATGTTGTTAAGCGAATTACTTTTAAATGGAAATAGCTTGTTAAGATTATACACAATATTGCCATTTGAGTACATTTTACATTTAACTAATTGTCGCCTATTTCAAGGGTACAATAGATTAGTAAGCTGTCTGAACTTACTCAGACCAAGTGTAGTGTGGAAGTCTTGCGTTAAGTCTGTAGTACTCTGGGTTTCATGTCAGTTCCCCAGAGCACCTTGTGCAGGCAGAATGCAGATGAAGTTTCTGCATTTTGGAGGAGAAAGAAGGGGTTCAGAAGGAGCTACAATGGAAGCAGCTCTTGCAATCAAATTTGAAAGAAATTCTGATTTACCCAAAAATGCGAGGTGTGATTTGATTAAAATCAACAAACACAAGTGTGGAAAATGTTCTGGTAGTAGAAATCTTATTTTAGCAACAAGAGGCAAAATGGGAAATGAAAACTGAAGTTTGAAAATTTCAGATAAGGTACAGTCTATTGGGGTCATTGGTTTAGTTTCAGAATGGGATAGGATGGTGGCAGTGCTGGAAGGTCACTAAGGGTCCTTGTAGGCATCCTATTTGTTTTCAGTAGGATGGGGAGAACTATGGAGTTCAGAGTGTTAAGAAGAGAACACTGAGGTCATGTCTGGACAATGCAATAGCATGGGATGCAAATCTCTGACTGCTTCTGGACCTTAAAGCATAATAACTGCATCTACAGGTGCTGTGCCCAAATGAATTCGTTCTACTTAGAGGTAGGGCTTGCTAAGCTCTGTGACAATGTTGTTGTCATGTCACTATTCTACTTTAGGACCCTGAATAAAATGTTGGCATTGTACTTCATTGTGTAGCATAGCAATATTATGAATCTTTTTACCTTTTGGTCTTTGATCTGAGACAAGTCCAGGTCATTAGGGATTCAAAGGCATTACCCATGTGGTGGATATTGAGAGGGCTATGATACATACATTATATGTGCCAGTTTATGTCAGACCATAGTGAGAACATCTAATATTCTAATAGTAGGCACAGCTAATATTCTGACTCCACCAAAGGCTGGTACCTGATGATTAGGAACATACAGAGACATATTCAAGGATGAAAGCTAAGTAAGTCCTCCTTTTAAAGCATCAGATTTGATTACTTTTATTTTATTATGCTCAACTAAAAATGTTACTGCTATCCATAATGTTGTCAAGGTCTATTTTAAAGTCAGCAAACATATTTGAATAGGTGTTTTTAAATGTACATTTGTGGTGAGTAGCATGTAGTTATTAAGAGTTGTGAAGATGTGGAGAATTTCCTGCTATTGTGTATTTATATGGTATTCATTAAGTCAACTTACACTCCTCAGTTTGGAAAGCTTAAATGTGGGAGGTGGGGGGAAGTGGAGTGAAGCACTGACATTTTTATTGTCATAATTACTGATACGTGTTCACATCATATTTTTAGCAGGGAAACTATCAACTGCTATCAGAAGGTATTACTGTTGTCCATTTAATCAGAGAAACTAGGGCTGAATGTGCCATACAGAGTATATCTGCCTTCCTTCCCTCCTTCCTGGGACTGATTTATCCTTGTAGCTGTTTAAACCACTTTGTAGACAGACCTTTAAGTGACATTGCTTATGATGAATCCACACAGCAGATGAACAGAAGGCTTCAGGTGGTTGTGGTATCAATCCAGCATCTTTTAAAGGAAATTCCCAGAAGAGGAGAACAATGCAGCTGCAAAAACACAGCTGCAAAAATTATGTCATAGCAATATTGGCCCAGCAGATACTCGGGGGGTTGGGGGGGGGGGGGGAGGAATGCTCATAGTGCAAATCAAGAATATTCCCATAACACTTTTGTGTGAACTAGAACCTGTTTTAATGAATACGTAAACACACAACCACTTACACCATCTCAAAACCTCCTAGCAGGTCTTAGTGTTTCAAAGTCAATTTTTGTACCTTTTTTTAATTCCAAGTCTGCTATATTTATTTTTGGTGTTTTTTGTTTTTGTTTTTGTTTTTGTTTTTTTAATTTCTCAATGAGAACATTGTGTGTGCTAAATACATTGTTGGTGTTGGTTTCCATCTCCCTCACCTTTAAATTCTACCCTCTACATACACCTGTGCTTGCAGTGATTGAATCCTTTTTGCTTGGGATTATCAGTGTTCTATAAATCAGTCACAGACACTGCTTAATTCTTAATAGCTTCAGCCAACCATATGTGTAAGTGTAGGCTGAGGGAACACTACAGACACTCAACAGCAACATTCCAAAAATACCTAAAACACCTAGGAAAAGTTGCGGACTATACTCAAAAGAAACTGTGGCAGGTGGGCAATCATTACCTGAGCTGTATTTTGCTATTCTACAATAAACTCTTTAAACAACCCTCTGAAATTTACTCTAAGACAACTTAGAGATCAATTTTTTTCAGAGGCCAGCTAAGTAATAATATCAAGTAGCAGTCTGGATTCTTACGTCTGGAATAGAAGCTTCAATATTTAAGTCACTCCTGATGCAGTAACTTACTGAGAACAGTTGTACGCTCCTGATGTATCTAATCTTTTTTTTGGCACAGAAACTATTGAGAACTGAGGAAGCCAAAATTGTTCAAGAGAAAGCTGCCAAGATCAAAGCATGGGTAACGTTTAAGCTTGGAGAGGTGAGTCTTTAGCTTGCTGAGGTTTGCCTATGAGTAGGTAGGTTCAGTGGCTGCACTGCCTGTGGGCTTCTGTGTAGGACAGTAGTTTGAGGACAGCCAATCTGCCACAGAAGCTTTCTGGTTGTTTCGCCCTACACACTCTCTCTTGCAGATCTAGGGTAGTCGTCCCTGTTACTGAGGGCTATTTACTGCTATGGGCAAACTATAAATGACAGTGAAGTCACTAATGCCCAAAAGCAGTCTCTGAAGATTTACTAGTCAGAGGTAGCTTTCACCTGGCTTTCCTCTGACTCTCCCTTTTTTTCTCTGGGTGTAGTTTCTGTTTCTTTCTGACAAAACAGCTGTGACACAGAAATATCCTTTGCTCTTCCTTAACTTGCCATCTCTGGCTAACGCTGTTTTCTTACTCCCAGCATTTTCTCACATCTAACCTCTTCCTCCTATCCATCTTGCGGACTTTTGTGTCTGTCTGGGCCTAATTCAGTACGTTCTAGAAAAACAGAGATAGCAATAGGTCAGCGCACAGTTTTAAAGGCATAGTAATAGTTTACAACTAGAAGTAGGCCTATCTGCTTTTTTGTTCCAAGTTATAGCCATAGATTTCCTAGTTTGTGCCAGAAAGGGAATTTGTTGAAGTTGAAAGAAGCAGTCTTTGTGGGCACTAATTGTATTATGATGTGACTTTGTAACCTCATTAGACTGCCTAGATAATTCGCCAAGCTGCTGTGCTGCTTCTCTTTCCCTATGTGAGATAACTTAAGCTGCAGCTACATTACTGACTGATGCAGCACAAAAGAGGAAACATGAGGGCTGACTTGGTGTGACCTGCTGTGAATCCAGGACTATACATTCACACTGTGTCTTTGCTGGCAACAGAGTTCATACCAGATCCTGATTTTAGGTGCAGACCATGCACAAGTGGACCACTGTCAACTGAAAGACTTTGCACTTCAGTGTTGCAAATGGGTTGCTGTAGACAGCACCATGGGTGCAGGTTCAACTTTTATTTTGTCAGGAGAAAAGCCTCTTCGGGTGTACCACTGCTGCATTTAAGAATGTACGCTGAGATACTTCAAGCAAAGATGTAAGGCAAATTTGCAAAGAATCAGTTGTGCACTAATTGCAAATGTAAATGCACCCTTAATGTTTTGGTGTTTGTTTCTTTTTTCTTTGGTCCCCTGGACCCAGGGGATCTCCTTTTACCACATACAGGTTGAGAGGAGGGAAAATGCTCCTCCAGGGGAATAGTTTTTTTGATTCTCTTTCATGACAGTTATTTCTGGAACAGGAGTGAATGATAAACAGTAGCAGGCAAAGAAATTTAAAAACGTATTTTAGAAGTGTTAGTAGTATATACAAAGACCGTTTGAGAAAGCACAGCAAAGAGTTTAAATGGGTTGTCTAGTGGAGCTGCTGAATGGGATTTCAAGATGGCGGTGTTCAAGGCCAGGTTGGACTGAGCCTTGGGTGACATGGTTTAGTGTGAGGTGTCCCTGCCCATGGCAGGCGGGTTGGAACTTGGTGATCTTAAGGTGCTTTCCAACCCCAATTATTCTATGATTCTGTGATTCTATGACTGGTAGACTCACCCATCCTTTATTCCTTTTCCTGTTAAGACACTTGAATGTAATAAAGATGAAGATCTGTACAGTGGAACACAGACACAGTTTTGCATTATTTTTCAATTTTTATTATTGTTGTTTCATAGCTTGAGCTAGAAAATTACCACCTGAGAAACTGTAATCAGAGACTGACAGAGCAAATTGAAGCCCTTCAGGATACATTGCAAGGTAAATGTGTTCACCTGGCGTTGTAGCCTAGTAACCACCATGAGAGTGGAAATTAGCATTCTCGGGTTGTATTCTTAACTTTGTCAGAAATTAGCACTTGTGATAGTGAGTAAGCAGTTGAAGTGCTCTGTTCCTTAGTGGGCCCATTTTTAAGATGGGAACATCATTGCTTACCTGCCCTAAACTCTTAACAGCGATTAACACAGGTCCCTGTTTTTCAGAGTGTGCTTTTGCCGGTAAAGTAGGTCACTGAGCTCGTGAATTAGAAGCACTCTTGAAATAGATAGCAAAACTCTCCATTCACTTCAGCAGTAGAAGTCCCTGAGGTACTGCACTTTACCTCTGCATACAGATTATCATCATCCCCATAGAACCTTTGCTGGTATGTGTGCTGAGTAACTGAGAAATGAATGGTCCAAAGTAGCATCTGCCTGGTCTTGCCTTTAGAAGCTGGGTTCTTCCATGCTATTAGGTTGGGCTGCGTACGGTGCTTATGCTTTTGTGGTTCTTGCTTGGTGAATAGATGGAGAACTTAGGTCTCCAGGGCTTAAAATCAGCACCTTTCATTGCAACACATTTTGAAGAAGAAATTCTCTTAACCATTTCCTTCCTGGTTTGTGGGGCTTTTCCTATGTTTGGTGGTTTCTTTTTTGTTGTTTTGTTGTTTTTTTTTTTTGGAGGGGGTAGGGGGTGGGGTGATGTGGTGTTCTGTTTGATTGGTTTTTGGGAGAAGTTGCGTGTTTTTTAAATTAGCATGATTTGGTCACAGTAAGATGAGCTAGTTTCCAGAACTTCACTGGTCATGCAGGAAGGGGGTATTTCTTTCCTGCAGAAGTCTTTCTGGCATTCCTGTCACTCAACAGCAAGGGAATAGGGCAAAATTCCTTCTAAATCCCACGTGTTTCCACAGCAAAATACTTTATGACTGGCTTTTTCCTCATGCCCTCTGGCTCTGGCTGTTTACAAAAAGAGAATGGCTGGTAAGCTGCGTTAATAATCTGGTATTAAGTGTACCATGGATCCCAACTCTCTGAGCAGTAAACAGATCTGCTCTCACCTCTTATCCCTTGCTAGTCTCACTGTGCCAGGCTGAATTCAGAAGCCCTTGCAGAGATACAAATCTCTTTTTGCTTGCCATGCTAATAGTAACAACTTCCTCTGCTTAATCTGCTGTCACATATAGGAAGCTGCAAAAGTACCAATAATATTTAAATTGAATAGCCTTCTTTCTATCTACGGTAATGACTTACCTCAGGGCAGAGGGAAATGTGTGCCAGCATTGTGTATGCCAGCACTGTATGTTAGGAATAGCTTTGTTAACATTCAGCTCCTTGTGGCTCACATGCTACGGTCAGGCTCTCATGGTTAACTTTCTCAACTGTGTTTCCAAGAGCAGGTTTTATCCTCTCTGCAATCATCAGTGATTTATTCTGCTGTTTGTCCTTCCCTGTTTTACTTTGTGTCTTCAGTTTGTTTCTACTTCCTTGTAAATCCCATTAGTGGTTAAGCAATGTCTGTAGAGTCTGACATTCAGGCAGCATTTTCAGCAATAGCTGTGCAGAGTCACACTTGCCCCTATCTATGCAATTTCCAAAGCATCTTATGGCTTGGTTCTTTTCAGTTAGGCAATTTATAAATGCCAATCAAAATCATAAAGTGAAGTAACATCCTCTGCCAGTCCAAGTTTTATCTGCACTTTCTTATACCCTATAGGTGCTATTCAGCAGAACCTGTAGAACTGAGATAGTCTTTAAATTTAGTAATTACAGAAAGGAAGAAAGTAGAAGAATTATAAAGTATAAGTTCTGAATAGACCAAAAATAATGGAGGCAATCTAGGATCCATCTTTTTTTGTCATCTTCTAATATAGCAACTGAAGGCACAGATTAAAAATAAAGAAATTTTTACAGCAAAAACATGTAAGTAACTTATAAAACTTGTTGACAAAAAGCAGTGCTTGAGTCATAGCACAAAAAGATAGAAAAAAGCTCTAGGGAAATTCTTGAAAAGAGAGTAACCTCACTATTTGCTGTGATGGTTAAGAAGGTCTCCATATGTATGCTGGAAGCCTCATCTAGCTCCTTTGAATGGGAGGAACCATACCAGTATATTTGATGGCATAAATCACTGTAGGTCTATTGGAGTCAAAAGCCACACTAAGCAATGTTCTGGTCACTTAGATGATTTTTGACAAAGTACAGTGTGGGTAGGTGTACTTTCTTCTCATGGCTATTTTAAGAAAAGAGACGTAATCCTGGATAGGTAAGAGTAAAAACTGCTATATTGAGTTAGATTGAAAGCTTGCATAGGTCAGCATCCTGTCTCCTGGTTGGCTGTGGATGTTCCATGAAAGAGTGTAGAAATTTTTGCAAGTAGATCTGTCCTTCCCTCTATGTACCCTTCTAGCTTCCGCTGTCAATGTTTTAGGAAGCTCCTAGACCAGAACTTCTGTCTAAACTGTTATTTGTACCACTGATAAATTACTTTTGCCCAGCCATCTCCTTTCCATTCTTACAGTCCTAATCAGGCCTGGGTGCTATTCAGATATGACTGACATGATCAACTTACATGACGAAGTGTACTTTTAGACAGTAAAACATTTAAATGCCCTAACCATGTGTTCTCTATTGTAGATATGACCAGCATTCCTCCCTTTGAGTCTCTTTGGAGCTGTAATCCTCTGAAGCCCAGAGCATCACAGACCTCTCTTGCTGAAAAGATAGACCAGAAAACTGTGCTCCTTACACCTGGTTTCAGACAGATATGTCAGACAGGACACAGCAAACATGTCCTCTCTACAGCAAATATAGTCCTTACCGATGACACCTTTACTGGGGATGGGGAGGATAAATCTCTGCTTTCCCAGAGCACGCTGAAGCTCATGTCAGACCAATTAAGCTGGAATCTCTCCACAGAGAAAGATGTATTCACAGCTGTATGTTCTGAACACAGGTTAGGGTGCTCTGATTCCACATCGCTGGGCCCTCCAGATGAGGCCACAAGAATCCTTGAGGCTTTGACTTACCAGTCATCTTTGGAAGGAAACTGTAGTGCTGTGAGCACCTTGCAACAAGTGGCTTTGGACAGCACACACTTCTCTGATGATCTGAGTGCCAGGTTCCGCTCCCACCGGCTGGATTCCTCTTCCTCAGGAGAAATAATGAGCAAGCTTGAGGGCCATCTCCAAACTGCTGAGCCATCTCTGGTTGTGTCAGCATCAACTATTACAGCACATTCCCTCTGTCCAGCAAGGGAATGCAACCTTGTCAGTAGTATGACCTTTCCAAAAGTACGATCTCCCAATACACCAAGAGATAGTATCCAACTAGCCAAGAGACATTACAGCCAGCCACAGCCAGGGACTAATTCTTTCCATCACGTAATGAGCTTAGAGGCCAGCACCTTCCAGCCCATCGTAAACTCTCCAGCCTGCCATGGACAAGTGAAGGAGACAGACATTGATGATGATGATGATGGGGTACTGGAGAAAATGGAGACAGAACGTGGCCCAGTGAGGGAAGAAGCTGGAGTGTGTGAGGAAATGAACCACTTATCTGCAGGGCAAAGAGTAGCTGTGAATTCTGAGGCTGGCATACTCGACCCAGGAGGCAAACCTCCCACACCACCACTGCACAGATTCCCATCATGGGTAAGAAATGCAAGAACAGTCTGAGAAGTGTTGCTTATCTTTGAGTCATGCCTAGTAGTTAGGCTACAACAGCTCTTGGTCTCAAGTAATTGTTTCATGTAAACATCAGTCATGTTTCTGAACCATCTAGTTTGGTAGTTTCAGATCACGGGGCATGCTGGTTCCACTGAGAGTTGTGGGGTTTTTTTTTTGTTTTGGATTTTTTTCCCTCTTTATAAGGGAGGGGGAGGAAAGGGTGGGAAATCTGTGAAAGAAAATAATATATTATACAGGAATAAAAATGAAAGTCAGGAGGTACTGCATTGTGGTTTATCCTTATGGGTCATCAAAAGTTAATCTGTAGTTCTGTTGTCATGTGTTTAAGACAAATGAGTCATAAATGCAAGTGAATGGACCAGACCAGGAAGTTTCAGTGTCAAAGTAAGATGTGAATACTAGAACAGATTTGATTCTAGCATGCCTATTTCAGAGATTGGCTACTATTCCTTTCTCTGATATAAATTTCCTGTGTAAGGTTCTTCTAGTCCTTTAAGATAAATTTTTCACAGGTGACTTCAGCTCCACCCACACCTCCTAAATTTTTAACTTGAGTTTGGCAAGTAAATTTAATTAGAGAAGTGCTGAGCTTTTCTGCTGCAACTGTATTCAGTTTTAATTACAAAGAATGTTATACAATGCTAAATTATCAAGAAGTCGGGTCTTGGACATCTTGAAATGGGTACTCCAAAGGTATTGGGTACTTCAGAGAACATATGTGAGAGCACCCATCAATGTCCCTCCTGGGGGGGGTAAAATGTTTTATTAATATTTATAAGCATTGCAGTATTGTAGTCACAAGTGAAAAATCTGTTGTCTTCAGACTGCAGTCAAATTAATGCATCCAAGTATATCAATTGCTAAAGCATGAATAGCATATTAAATAGCAGCTTAATTAGTAAGAAATGCATATGATGTGCCCTGAATAAGAAGTGTCTGGGGAAAAAAAAAAAGCATGTAATATTTCATTAGAGACTAAATCACCATGTATATACCTACAGAAAATACTAATTCTGTATTGTACTTTTTTTGGTGTACTTGACTTTGCAGTCTTAGCTACTTTCATGTATATCTATTATGTATGTTAACTGATGGTGACTGGTTGTATGCTTTAAAGAGCAGCAAGAGGATTCCTAGCTTTGATTTTTATCCATTTTAGACTGGTTGATGTCTTAGTCATAACATTGCATTTAGTTGCAAGTTGGGTTCCCTCCTTGGAATTTTTATCAATTTGTGAAGCACTCAGAGATCCTTTAAACTGAAAGCTCCATATGTTGTTATAACTGAAACATAGGCTTATTGAGATTACTCCAGGCATTTCTTTCATTCCATTGTCAGAGAATAGGAATCCTTTTCAGGTGGTGACTCAATAAATTGTCCTGGTTTTGGGGGTTTCTTGGTTCATTTTAATGTGTTGTTTAATAAAGTGAAAAGAAACAGCTTTTCTAAGCTGTAATATAATAATTTATTGATAATTACATGTAGGCAGATATAATCTCTGTATCATTTATAAGACAAACCTTTTGTGATTCAGGGAATCACGCACAGATGCATATTTTTACTAATGTCATTCACACATCATCTGGTGGAATAGAGCAATCTTTCTTAGAGGGCCCCTCCTTCCTGACCAAAGGTGTGATTGTGATGTGATTCTGTGACATGAGCATTTCTTTTTGCAGGAATCATGGTTTTTGTCTGACCATTGCTCTTCATGGTGTTATTGTTCCAGGAGAGTCGAATCTATGCTGTGGCCAAGTCCGGCATGAGGTTATCTGAAGTGGCCACGGTGAATGATACTTCCACCTGCTGTAAGTTATAGACAAGATCCATCCTTAGAGGGAGTTTATAGTGACAGTATGGGACCTGAGCCTCTGGCTGTTCAGATTTCTTCATTTCCTTGCCTGTTTTCAAACTAAATTTGATTTTGTAGATAGCCACAATAAAGAAAGGAAGGGATGAGGATACATCTGATCTGTTTGAGCCCCTACATTCAGTGACATCTTCAGGGTTATCTCCTTCATCATTTTTGCTGACACTGTTCTGCCTCTGCATGTCTGTGGCCTGCTTTTAGTCTTGCAATTCACCCTCACCTTCCCCATTACAGCTTTTACCTGTTTTCACATCGTGCACTCGGTTGCCATTGTACCATGGGGAGCACACGGTAGGCAAGATGTCTTACAGGCTAAATGAAGGGAGCATTGCAGCTGTCTCTGGAAGTTGCACATAATTAATAACACATCCCCTAGCCTTTCTGAGGCCAGACTGTCCAGGGTGACAGTTCTTTATTACTCAATGTTCCAAGAGGCTACATAAGTTTTTTCACACATGCATGTATCTCTCCATTAAAACTTTCTCCTTTTCACCAGTTTGTATTATTTGCTCTCTTGCTCTCTGAATTTTCCCAGTTTCCAGTTTCTCGTGTTCAGCTTCTGGGCCATTTACCTGTCTCATCTACAGAAATGTCACAGTGCCAGTCTACACTACGCTGAAAGGGGTAAGGAGTTACCTCACTTTTCCTGTTACGAAAAGCATGGTCAAGGGCTGCTAGTGATTTGAGAAAGAACGGGATGAAGCCGTGCAGTGAAGGAAAGGAAATTAGAGAATGTTAGGAAGTACTGGACACCAACAGAATGCAGAAGGAGTAGCAGATGATAAATGAATTCAGGAATACAGAACACTGCAGCAAGTTCTAGTCCAGGAAGCTGCTGTGTGCACTATGAGGCAGTAGAAGCTAGGATGATAGTGGGTGTAGTCTAAACAATAAATGAAATGAAAGAGGTCTCTTGAGACCTTATGGGGAAGCACAGGGCTTGTGGAAGAGCAGAAGGGTGTAACCTCAGAACACCTAAACAGATCAGACTAGAGAGTCCAGTTTGGAAGTTCTCAGACTAGAATGGGAGGAAATTAAGAGCCCTTGGACAGTAGTGGGCAAGGCAGTGTGAAAATGAGGGGTGTGTACTGATTGTTCTGTCTCCTTACTGAGCAAGTATTGTCCTGGGGAAACTCTTCCCTCGCACACTGACCATACAGGTCTGTTTTCCAGAAAGCTGTGCAGATCAGCAACGTGCCTTTCTTAGATGAGTCTTCAGGTTCTGATGATGACTGTGGTTCCCATGCCAGCTTCAGGACTTCTACTGCTGGGTCTGAGAACAGGAAAGCTAGCATGCCAGGCAGCCCTCGAGCAGTGAAGAGAGGTAAAGTCAGAGTATTGCTACTGAGAAGCATGAACTCTGTCCTCATGGTTAAGACAGGATGTTCTGAAGAGCATCATCAGTGGCAGGCAAATGCTTAGCCTTGGTGATGCTAATAAGAAGTTCTCCCAGAATGTGTGCAGGCATCAACAGCTACTCAGTAGAAACCTGTCCTCTTAGATGGGCTTTTACTGCTCGTAGTTTTTCATCCAGGCACTTGATAAACTCAGATTGTGGGAAGGATTGATCTCCCAAATTCATCACTTATCTAGTGAAGCCATCCATACTTTTACTGTGACTTGACCTTGTAAGCAAGCTAGTATTACCTTAAAGGAAATGTTTTTTGTCTCTGTCACTGACTGATAATTTCATGATCAGTAAGCAAATATGCCCTATCTTTGAGAGGCATCAGGTGATTTGGGTCCTGGCTAGGCCAGTTATTCCTGACTGCAGGGAAGGTTAAACTTGATCCGTGAATGGAATTTTCAATACAATTGGTAGTCAATAAAATAGAATTCCATTTCATCTAGTCTTAACTTCTGTTGTGATGCATTGGCTGTGATGTATCTCCACATTGCCATGTGGTGGAAGATTCACAGAAAACAAAGCCTCATTGCTGGTCATTGAGAATGAATGTACTTAGAATGAGAGGGGCTTGATGCTTTATAGTGGATGTTTCCAAGCTGAGAACAGCATGTCTGTGATTTGGATAACAAGTCTGTTGATTTATAGATACATGTGTATATATATATATGTGTGTAATATATAGTCTCTGTTTATTCAGCAGAAATTTCTTACACTGTACACTGTCAGTATCCAAAACTCACTCCCATTACTTGTCTTCCTAAGGAAAAAAATGGTCTCAGAAGTTTGGTTACTGGGACTGGAATTTCCAAAGTCTCATCTGATTTGTTCTTCATGAACAAAAACACCTTAATTGTGATCTCAGTTTTCAGAGTGTGCAGTATTCAGTACATACTTCTGTCTAGCTAGTTCTCATTATTTCCTTAATTTTGAACAGGTGTATCTGTGTCCTCACTGAGCTCTGAAAGTGATTATGCCATTCCTCCTGATGCCTGCTCCTTGGATGGTGACTATTTAGAGCCAGAACATAAGCTACAGCGAACATCTTCCTATTCCACCGACGGTGGAATCTGCACTGTAAGTCTTGCTACCTCACAGCTGTGCAGGAATGCAAACAGAGCCTTGTTCTTGAAACAGAAAAAGTATAACTACAATATATCTCCTGCAAAGTGACGCTCTAACAGATTGGGCTGTTAGTCCAGCTGGTTTGTATCAAAACGCACTATCTGCTGCTTCAGAAGAAGGTGCAATTTCTGTTATGTAGTTAGATAAAAGTGTAAGCATCAAGGGCTGTATTCTTTCCTGATGACCTGTACTGGTTTCCTGTAGTATTCTACTTTAATGATGGCCTTCCACTTTTGTGACAAGTTTGGAAATTCAGATGAAAGAGGAGAAAGGATAGAATATTTTGGTCTAAAAAAAACCCAAACAACCTCAAGCATGGGCAGCATTAAATTTTGTAGTCTTGATTTAAGTGATCAAGCAGACAAGGAACAAGAGTCTAATGACTTAGAGCCAGCCTTCATTTTTATTTAGAAAATCACTGTTATGGCAGGAAGACAAGTTTTCAGTACCTGAAACAATCAATGAAATGATCTTTAGATATCCTCTTTTCTGAATCACCACAATGGGGTATTTGCAGCTACATATATATTCTATGACTCTTTCATGTTTAGCAGAGAACATTGACCTTGGATGTCTGCTACTCCCATCAGGCAGAGTAAAGTAGAAAAGGATGCACGTGCAGCAAATATCTGAGCTTGATTTCAGCATTCTTTCATTTGTATTTTGAGTAATGCAAGATAACATCCTCCACCCTTTGCTGTTTGCCCTCCAGGAACCCATGGAGAAATCTGGTTACTTGCTGAAAATGGGCAGCCAGGTGAAGATGTGGAAGAGAAGATGGTTTGTTCTGAGAAACAGACAAATCATGTACTACAAGTCTCCGGTGAGTCACATTTACTCCTGTGTGGAGGCACAGGGAAGGCTGTCTGCAGAAACCGTTCCAGGCTGATACCACTGGCAGAGTAGACCCAGAATGCCCTGCCAGAGAGCTTTATGTCTGACCCACAGGTTCAGCTGTGGGTCTCTGCTTAGGCAAGGAAGCTCCTTGCAGTGACAGTTTCCAGGAGATGGAAGGCTGGTCAGGAGGACAGGAGCGTGATACCTACCAGTTAACTTTGTACAGATGATGACAAGCAGAAGGCATGCCATGGCCCAGCTTTGGTCATGTTTAAGATGAAAATAAAGGAAAAATACATTACAATGTGAGGAAGGTACAGATACATACTCAGTATAGGGGTCTTTGAGCAAAACTACAGCTTTCAGGGGGACGAAAGCTAGATTCTTTCAGTTTTACCCTCCTACACGGACATGTAAGTATTAGAAAACAAGGATAAAACGGAAAATAAGCTTTCACACAAAATTCTGTCTTACACTGATCAGTGAAACAATATTGAGAGAACATGTTTGTACATACAAACCTTTTCAAATAACTTTTATAACCACAACATTTCAAATGAAGTTACATTATTTTAAAAATCCTAACATTATGCATTCAAAATTTATATATTCAATAAAACACATTTCTTCTTGGCCTTCATTATTCTGCTGCACTTAGCTATATTACAGAGAATTATATTTAGGGATATTCACCTTCCATACTTTTTTCTCCTGGTCACAGCAATTTCCTCCAATACCTGCATAAATTACACAGAATTTCTGTGTATATACACATCTTTGCTTACAAGTCAGGAATATTGAGAAGATTTATTTTCAACTTCTTTATTTTTTTCAGCTGTCATATTCTGACAAGGCAAAAATACACCTTAGGGCACAATGCATCTTTATTTCTGATAGTAGGTTTATCCACCAGAATTCACAAGCAAATTATGCATACATGATATATACATACACATATATAAAAAATAATTTCATAAAGATGCAGAATTTAGATTGTTGGTTGCGAGGGACTAGTCCAACTGATGCATTGAAGAGGGACTGTCACCAGCTGTAGATCAAACTACCTGTGGCTTTGTCCAGCTGAATCTTGAAAACTTCCACAGGTGGAAATTCAGCCACTGTCTTGGTACCTGTTTGGTGTTGTACTGCCTTCCCAGTGACAAAGGGTTGGTTGTTTTGTTGCTTTTCTTCCTGATGTCCAGTCTGGACCTCATAAGATAGTACTTGTCTTCATTACCTCATTATTTTATCTGCCGCTACTGAGAAGACTTTTCCTTCATCATTGCAATGGGATCATACTGTCTCATATTCAACTTGGCAAGCTGTCCTTTCCAGCTCAGTAATGCAGACTCCAACCTGCACATGCACATTATGCTGTATTTAAGTACTCTAAGACCTCTCTGATGTTTTTTGAAAAAGTTGTTTGCTTTTCTTTCCTCAGAGTGATGTTATCCGCAAACCACAAGGGCAGATGGAGCTGAATTCCTCATGCCAAATTGTCAGAGGTGAAGGGTCCCAAACGTTCCAGGTAAGCATTGCTTTTTCATCCTGCAGGTAACCACTCACTCAGTGGCTGGATGAGAGAGCATTTATTTCAGGCTGAATGGTACTGTATGTACCAATTGATACCAGTATTAACTGATACCAGCTTCTATCTGGCCCCTGTGTTTCTTGCACAAGCAAGGCATTTACTTTAATAAATAATGGGGAAAGAGCTAAACTGTAACCCAAATAGAGTTTTTTGAAATTGAAAGAATTTCTCCTTTGTTTTTGTTTTATTTTACATCATATCACTTTCCTTTTTTGCATTTAGGACTGAGAGCTTGCAATCTGCGGGGGAAAGTGATTCTTGTAACAAATAAAACCAGGTAGCACCTAGGATCTCCTCTTTCTGAATGATTCCTCTCACGAGATTGCTAGCCTGACTTTACATGTCTGGAGGATCTGAAGAAGCATCTGAAGTATTGAATTCCTATTAGAATTCAACTTCTGAAGTATTAGAAGTTAGCTCATTGCTGGGTTCAGTTTTAAGTAGTTTTTGTAGAGGATTCCATTAATAAAGATAACGTTAAAGTTTCTCTCATTTTCTGACTGACAGGTTCATAGCCTGACCTGAGACCTACCTTCTGCTGTTATGGAACTGAAGTTGCTAAGGCTTAATACTATTAGATACATAGCATCTTTCCTCACAAGCCATTGAAGGCAGAATGCAATATAAAGTGAAGGCAGCAAAAAATAACTGTTTATGTAGTCACCTTTAAAATGAAAAATTAGCAGTACTGAGAAACAAGAAAGGATAAGAGAGGAGACAAAGCCACATTATCCAACAGAAACAGCAAGAGAGCTCATGAGAATTTTGTTCATCTGGGTTTCAGCTCTTTCTCTTGGGCTTTGAGCGTTAGCAGTTTTTTTCTCATCCCACTTCCAAAATCCCTCCTGAACCACCAAAAAAAAAATAATAAAAAAATCTGTATGGAACAATGAAACAGCAGCTGAAGGAAAGCTATGTAGGTGTGCGTATTTGTACTGGCTCATTCCTTTTCCTTCCAGCTCATGACAGAAAAGAGAACCTACTTCCTGACAGCTGACTCTCCCAATATCCTAGAGGAATGGATTCATGTCCTACAGAGTATCCTCAGAGTGCAAGTGACAAGTCCTGTTGGTGTTCCTCATAGTGATGCTAAACCCACTGTGAAAGGTTGGCTCACCAAGGTAAAACACTGTTTATTCAGTTTAGTCCAGTATTGACAGTGTACCAGCTTCTTGGTTTGCACAGTAAATGTCGGTAAGAAATCAGTATTTTAATACTGGGGAGAAAAAGTGGGGAAAGCAAGAGAGTGGTAGTAGATTTCTGTATTTCAGAGGCAGGAACATTTATATAAATGATAAGGAATGGGACAAGCAAGGCTACTGAGAGATACTGACTTTGTCAAATAGTAAGTAATATCAAATATCTAGGTTATGTGTGCTTTTCTTCAACAGATCCTACAGCATGTCCCAGGAAAAAAGAAACAAACAAAAAAACCAACAAATCAGGAAATCCTGTGAAATGTCACATTTCACTGATCTGGACTTGGTGTTATAGGAGAGTTTCAAAGAAATAGGCTTGTATGGTTATAGGCTAGCATTTATTTCCATCATAACAGACTGCATGCACATTAGTACAAAGAAAGTACAATGGCTGAAAATTCTTATGGCCTATACCATTTTCATACATTAGTTTTGCATAAGAAGTTACTGTGAATTTTTAAATGTAATTCTGGTCAGCATCTAAAGATGGCTAAAGACAGCCTGCATCTGAAGCTGATTCATCTGCAATAGGAAGCAGTTCTCTAGACTACATGTTGACAAGTCACTTCCTGCTGAGATGAAATGATTTGGTTTTATAATCTCAAAAAGGTCATTCTTAATATTGTATTTCAGGATACAGACATGACAGGTTGTGATCAATTGGTAAAATACTTCACAAAATCTTAGATCCATTTCCGTAAGCACTTACTTCCCATCAAATTATAATCTGCTTTTGGAAGTGGTGCCCTGTATATTTTGAGAGGAGCTCATATTAGCATAGAACAAATAATATATGCAAGGTTTTAAGGGAAAGTTGAATTAAAATTCAAATGCTAAAAAATCATTCCAGCAACACTGGTGATGTTAAAAACTTGTATTTCTTTGTTCTCCTGACAGGTCAAGCATGGTCACTCTAAGCTGGTCTGGTGTGCACTGATTGGAAAAACTTTTTATTACTACCGAAATCATGAAGACAAGGTAATTCCTTTCCCCAAGGAAAGGACCCTGCCACGTATAATGGGAAGAAAATAGTACCTTATGGGAAAGGCCACCTCTTTATTTGCATATTCTCATTCTGACCTCTAGATGGTCTCCCAAGAAAAATAATAGAAATAGTAACATAGCTTGTAAGTACTTTAGTTGATGAAAGAGATCCTATAGAAATGCAAGATTATATAATTACATTAGTTAAACACTGAATTATAGTTTATTCCTTACATTTTACAGAACTGCTAACATTTTGACCTGGGTTTTCTTTCCCAGTGTTCCCTGTCCATGGTGGGAGATTAGCTGCATTTATCTAACTGCTTCTCCTCCTTACAGTGTCCCCTAGGACATCTGCTTATGCGTGAGTCCAAAGTGGAAGAAGTAGACCGTTCCTGTGACTCTGATGAAGATTATGAAGCCACTGGTGGAGGACTTGTCTCATCTCACTGTACATTGGTGATTCACCCACAGGACCAGAGTCCCACATACTTACTCATTCGCACCAAACAGGAGAAGGTATAAAATGCAGTCTGTTTGAAAAGAGAGACTTTTTGGTATCAGTGAACAAATGGGGTGTACAGACTGAACCTCTTTATAGAAAACAGAAATTGACCTGTACTGTTTTCATCTTTATGCCTAGAATACCTGGCTGTACCATCTGACTGTAGCAGCTGGTAGCAGTAGTGCCACAGTGGGCACATCATATGAACGACTCATTGGAAAACTATTGGACGCAGAGGGAGACCCTAGTAAGTAGAAACCACAAACTCTTTTCCATGGTAGCAAAGTGTAAGGAAAGGTAACTTCAATTCCCAGTTTTAATCCAACCAAAGCTGAAAGAAGGAGATTCGCAGTAAAACAACGTGTGATCTAGTGTCCCTCTCCTATAGTTCCATAATAACATCTCCAGAGAGGATACAGGTATTGTAGTGAAACTAGATAAGTCCATCACATTGTCACATAATGTATCAAAGCATCTGAAATGTCTGTAACATAAATTCAAATTAGATTAAAGAACTGGGGTTTTAATTCTTCCTGTTATTGTCAGTCCTGATTTTCCATTCCTGGGAATCTTGACCATACAAACACATGCTCTCTTCTCTAAATATACTCATGCACACTGTTCTTCTCTTCATGCACATTGGCCTTCACGTCTGTTCCTCTGTCTGCACATGTAAGCCCTCACACCTACATTCATGCATATCTGTTCCTCATCATCTTTGATACTTTCTCATTCATGTATGTTTATGCACCATGTTCTCAAATGTGTATTAACATGCATTTGTACTTTATACTCTTTTCCTACACACTCATATTCCTGAGCTGTATGTGAACCTTGCTTACTGTTGAATAGTGACTTGCACTAACACAGATCCCAATTACAGGCAGCTGCTCTGGCAGAGTTTGTGTCTCCTGATTGAATGCAGAGCTGAGCAGTTTCTCACTAGAATCTAGCTGATGAGAAGCTCTGACATAGCAGGATTGAAAATGGCAATACTTCTGATGGCTAATACTGCTGGTGACTCCCTGTTCATGGCAGGCTTTGCTGAAGTCAGTGAAGTGGCACCAAAGATAAATGTGGCCTATCTCATTACTACTTTCTTAGGTTCTTTGCCATTTCATCAGGGCTCCTTTTCAATGTGGACACTGTTATCTGTCTGCTCTTTCTGACCCAGCATTTTTTGCCCATCTGCTACCTCAGATTGTCCTCTGTGGAAACATCCTATGTTGTGCTACAGTAAAGATGGGTTGCAGACATCCCTCACCACTCTGCCTTCAGAGGCTCTACAGACTGAAGCTCTGAAACTTTTTAAGGTATTTAAACAGACATTGATGGGTTTCAATTATTTTGCTCTGTTGTTGGGACAGCAACATTTTTTGCTCCTGTTGTTTGTCACAACAGTTACTGCCGTCATTGGTTGCTTTAGACAAGCCTGTTGGGTCATTTAGTTATAATAGGACAGTTAGGTATTAGGTGTCATTGATCCTCTGGAGGTTTAACTTTTACTTGTAGGGAACCTAGGTTTAGAAGCAATATCCCCCATAGGCTTTACACTTCAAAGTTAGCTATATATATTCCCCTTTCCTCTCTAATAGTTGAATTGAAGGAAACAGAAACAATTTACTAGCAAACTCAGTTGTGTCAGTAAGATCAATGGTGAAGCCACTGGAGATTTGATTTTTACATTCTCTAAGTGTAAGATCAACAGTAAGACTGGACAGTCTTAGCAAGGTAAAGCACAGGCATGGAAGACAGGAAGTACACTTTCCCCTCAAGTCTCTCGCTGACTTGTGAGCTCCTCAGGCTGGTGGAGGTTGAAGGAATTTTCTAGTTACCACAACTAAAAGAGAAGGATGGGAATGAAGTGCTTATTCTCCTCCCTCCTCTCAAGGTTATTTAGATTTAATTGTAATACATCTGGAGAACCTGGTCTGGAAAGTACCAGAGAAGAATGGCTGTATTCCGTTGACTAATTTCCACCCTTTTACAGTCCTGTCAGCTGTTCATCAATGTCCCTGTGGAGGCACCCTCTATTGATTACCACGTGTCACTCGCCCAGACAGCACTGCAGGTCTGTTTGACACATACTGAGCTGCAGAATGAAATTTACTGTCAGCTTGTTAAACAGACCAGCTGCCGACAACCCCAGAACCACTCAGTCATTCAGGTCAGTTTCCCTTTTGTCACTTCCACTCTGCAAATGTTTTTTATTTAATGCCATATTTTTAATAATCAGCCATGAGACTGGTTCCCATAAAACTGTGCTAATGCTAAAGGTGTGTTGGAGGAAAGAGAATCTCAGCGCTTATGTGTGAAGAAAAACATCGCAAATGTAACCTACTTGCAAAATAAATTTTAGTTTGAATTTAACCATTTACCAGTTGCAAATGATCTATTTGGACCATATTCAGAATCAAAATTCATAGCTCATGTTGGCTAGCTATAATTGTCACATGGTATTAATTTTTATTTCCATTTTAATTAACAGCATGCAAATCATTAATACTACTATTAAGCATGAACTCTGATTTTTGCACTATAATTACTGGGTAAATGAGTAAGTTGCAGCATGAATGTACATACTTGATTATAATATTCCCAACTCAAATGAGAAAATAAAATCTGGCTGAACAATAATGGGTCTAATTTAAATAAAAATTCACCAATGTATTCTTTGCTATGATCTGCAGTTACAAATATGGAAAAAAATTTAAAAAGAACAGTCCGTCCTCTGACCATCACTTCCCTTTGAAGCATTTTGAACCACATGTCTAAAATGGTCTCTCCCAAAAGCGTTAGGTACCATCCAACATTTTGGTTGCAGTATTCTCTGAAAGACAACAGGCAAGAAGTACAGAACAAGAGTGATGTCCAGTTTTATGTTCACAGTGCTGGCAACTCCTGGCTTTATGTGCTCCTCTATTCCTGCCTCAACATCACTTCCTCTGGTACATCAAACAGCACTTGCAGCGACATGCTGACCCCAGGTAAAGACTGTAAGAGCATTTTATTCTGCTAAGCTGATTGCCTTTTGCATTCACTGTGAATAAAGATAGAAGCAATTTTGTAACACACACCTGCAACAGTAAGTTGAGGGAGGGAACAGAAGCTTCCAAACAGTATGGTGCCCTTTCAGTCATTCACATTATTTTGTCGCTTATATTAAGCTATTTCACAAAACTGAGCGACTTATACTACTAGCAAAAGAACTTTCTGCAGATATAACTAGAGCTACGCAGGGAGTTGGTTGGTTTGTTTTTTTTTTTGCTGATGCAGATTCTTTCTTTTATTAACAGAAAAACCAAAGTAATTATTTAGAATGAACTATTAGAATTTTAGGTAATTACACTCTGCTGCCAGGTTAGTAGGCATACTGACAGAAGTGAGGCAGAGAATATTATAAAAAGTAGGAAAAATTAACAAACCTGAAATATATGCTAGTACTGTTTTCTGTTACCTCTTTGGCATCTAACACTTTCCTTATAAGAAAACAGTGCAAGATCTACTGTAAGGCAGAAGTTGTTTCCCCGTATTCATGCTGTGCTCTTTGTTTCCATGGTGATCTGGTCTTCAGCAAGTCTCCCTGTGCCCTTGGTTGGGAGGTCACAGCTGGAGATGTCTAATTGTTGCAACAATATACTGTTGCTAAGACATAAGTAAAAGAGTGGTTTCATTTCAAACAAATATTCCTGTTCAATTACCAGTCTTCTTTGGAATTCAGTTGAAAGTCAGGTATTGCAAAGGATATCTCTGTACTCCTCCTATCAAGTTTTATTCTATTTTCTCATATGCTGCCTCACATTTGCTATGTCTTCTCAGGTGCAGAAATACAAATATCAGGTACTCCTTGATGTTTGGGCTCTCTCTCCGCTGGCTAAGGCAACCTGTTGGGGATCTTTTGGCTAGTACTAGAAAACAGCACTAAAAAATTTGTTCATTACCAGCTCTTCAAAGGAGCCCATTCTCACAAACTCAGCAGTGGAGCTACTCTACTGTTAGGGACTATTAAATTTCATAAGGATGAGCTGGGCTCTGTGAAATTGGTTTGCATCAGTTTCAAGCATTACTATGCTGATGGTCTGCCAGGTTCTTAGCCTCAGAGTACCTTTATAACAAATAAACTTTAAGTAGAAGCAAAGAGGAAATGTATGTATACAATCCAGCTATGAAACAATATTAGGGCCTGGAAAAAAATAACACATCAAAGCATACAGAAATAACAGCAAACTGTGCTTATATTCATCAGTTTAGGTTATATTTAGAGCAGTTGCTAAATAGGACTTAGGTCCTTCTGCCTAGCTTTAGACTTGAATCTCTTAGGTGGAGCAGGTATGGCTGTTTCTTGACCAGTTAAATAGATAGTCTTCCGCTGTTTCATACAGCAAACAGTACACTAGAATGTTTACACTGCGTGATGCCTCTGGTCTAGGTTTACACTAGATATTCTAACTACTGTTTGTCATGAAAGGTGACCTTAGAGTATATATCTGGTCTCTAAGAGAGGAAGAACAGTGGGGTACAGTTCTAGGTTAGAAGACGCAAGGCTCAGGAGCATTTGGAAGCCAGACACAACAGCTTCTTATCAAAGCAAGATTCTCAACTTGAAAATTGTGTAAATGAATTACTGGGGAGGTGAGCAATATATAAAATACGAATAAGACTCTAGAGCTCCTGACTTCCATATTGCTTGGAGGGATTTAACTGGAGATTTAATCATGTACTGAGCTTCTGAAGGCATCTTGAATGAAGTTAATTTCCCCTGCAAAGTGATAGCACAGTTATGAATTCATATAAATCCTTCAATTTCAGAACTTATTCAGTATATGCATTGTAAACATTTTTGCAAAAGGTGTAAGTGCCTGGCTTTAGAGACACTTATATCCTTTTGGTGCTGTTCATTGCAGCTCTTTTGTCAGTAGACAGTAAACTGATCATATCAGTAACTATCCCAGTGCTGTATTGAACTACCAACAAACCTGAGCTTGCTTTGAATCTCTGAGTCTCTTGATTGGCAGGTAGGATTAATACATGGAAACTTAGAATTTTTATAACTATGTAAGTTGATAAACACAATTTATATAATCCTGTGAGACCAATGCATTACAACTTATTATTAATACTTACCAGGACTTGACATGATAGTAACTCAGTTCTGCTGGTATGACGACGAGTTGGAGGGTAAACTGGTCTTGATTTAATGGATACTATGATGGCAACAGGGTACAGAAGAGGGTATTCCTGTACTATGCCCAGTCCACCTAGGAGCAGAGAGTGCTCTTGCACTTCCTAGAAAGTCCACTGTCTACCTTAATTTTACAGATCCTTGGAGTTGGGGTTTGTTTTGTAGCTTTTCACTCGAGCTGTTAGTCTGTTGAGATGAATGAGGATGTCTGCATAGAGATGTATCTTTGCTTGAGCAAAAGCCTGACCGAGGAATTCTTTGTCATGGCATGGGAAATGAAGAGGACATGGCATTTAAAGCATGTCTGTGGCTTTTCTCCACATCTTCACCTAGAAGTGAAATAGGCAAGTATGCCATCTACTGCCAGAGATCAGTAGACCGCACTGTGCAGACTGGTGAGCGAGAAGCCAAGCCCTCCCGGATGGAGATTGTGTCCATCCTGCTGAGAAATCCCTACCACCATTCACTCCCCTTCAGCATCCCAGTGCACTTCATGAGCGGAACCTACCAGGTGAGCCACCACAGCTGCCTTTCTTCCAGGCACTAGAGGCCTGTATCATAACCTGCCTCCTTCATGTGGGTGAAACCATGGTGTTGTATGTATCAGATGCTGGGAGATAGATGCTGTTTCTCCTTCTTGCCATTTTAGCCATTTTTCCTCAGAAAATGAAGGGAATCCAGCCTCAGCTTTACAGGTCATAGGAAGAAAAGGTAGCTGGGGAAAAGGGAGAGATGTCACAAGTTTCACAGTATGAGAAGGAATGCAGTGTGAGAGGAGACAATATGCAAGTGCTGTCACTGGAGCTGGCAGTCAATCCTCAGACACCACTCTGTAGGAAACCAGGCTTCAGTAGTTGTGATATCCATCAATGTCATGTTTCTTGAAAGCTATCATCAACCGACTCCTCTTTCATTGCAGGTTGTAGGTTTTGATGGTTCCTCAACAGTCGATGAATTCATCCAGCGACTGAACCAGGAGACAGGAATGAGGAAACCATCCCACATGGGATTTTCTCTGTTCACAGATGATCCTTCTGGCAGAAATTTGGAACATTGTCTGCAGGGTAACATGAAGGTAATTTTTTTTTCCCCTCTGCTACATCCAGCACACAGCTTTGAAGAGCTGCCTGGCAGAAAAAGATCTGGGTGTGTACTGGTTGACAGCTGGCTGAACATGAGCCAACTTGTGCCCAGGCAGCCAAGAAGGCCAACAGCATCCCGGCCTGTATCAAAAACTCTGGCCAGCAGGGCCAGGGGAGCAATCATCCCCTTGTATTCAGCACTGGTGAGGCGACACCTCAAACACTGTGTTCAGTTCTGGGCCCTTCACCACAAGAAATACATTGAGGCGTTGGAGCATGTCCAGAAGAGGGCAATAAGCTGGTGAAGGGTTTACATACAGCACAAGTCTTACATGGAAGAGTTGGAGGAACTAGGGTTGCTTAGTCTGAAGAAGAGGAGGCTGAAGGGAGACCTTAGTGCTTTCTTATGACTACCTGAAAGGAGGTTGTAGTGAGGTGGGGGTCAGTCTCTTTTCCCAAGTAACAAGTGATAGGACGAGAGGATATTACCTCAAGTTTCAACAGAGGAGGTTTAGTCTGGATATTAGGAAAAAAAATTTTCAGCAAAAGTGTTGTCAAGCACTGGAACAGGCTGTCCAGGGAAGTGGTTGAGTTACCATCCCTGGAAGTATTTAAAAGATGTGTAGATGTGGTGCTTAGGGATGTGGTTTAGTGGTGGACTTGTCAGTGCTCAGTTAACACTTGGAGTCAATGATCTTAAAGGTTTTTTCCAACCTAAATGATTCTGTGATTCTATAATTATATGTCTAGTCTGAGAAACTAGTTAAGATGAAGCATATTCTGTTTAGTAGGTGATAAATTGGTCATTTTTTGAAAAGTCAGCTTAGATTTTAGCACAAATACAAGTTTTAATTTGTCTTGACTACAAAATTAAAACATGACTGAGCTAGCTAGCATGGTCAGGTATCACAACTAACATCAAATGTGACATTTCTAATTGAGACAAATTTATGTTAGGCTGTGAATCTCTTGGCATATCTATATAAATCCCATATATTGTATTTATATTTATGAAGTATCTCCTTGCTATCTCCTGATAAATAAAGCTTTCATTGTCAATGGGTGTACTTAGGGAAGAAAGCTCTTTACTGATTAAGCCTTCACTTTAAAAAAAGAGAGGAGTGGCTCACATCAAGAGAAAAGGAAAGCAAATAGAGTATTAGCATTTGTGTTTCATATGGAGATTTTTACCCACACTGTGGATGACTGCCTTAAGTGAGCAGGCTAGCAGGAATGAGACACATCAGATTTTGGAACAAATCTGGGAGAATGATTTGTCATATGGATGTCATACTGATAACATTTGTTGTCACATTCAAAGTGACAACTTTGAAGAGTCCCTGATACCTGTAAGGAACATCATTTTACACAGCATAAAATTTCACATTGGGCAACAGAGGGAGAAGATACCAGTAACTTTAAATTAGATGGTTGAAAGAGGACACTGCCACAGGGGGTGCCAAATGATATATTTCTCTTTTATGGCCTGATACAGGTCAGATAATCTGGAGCTTTTCTGGTAGCTGAACAACTGTTTGGAGAGAGGAGATATTAGAGTAAATGGAGGAGTTGAGATGATCAAAGACATCACTTTTACAGGATATTAACTGGTTATTATTTACTTGCAAAGGCAACCTCAGTAGCTTCTTAAGAGAGGATTAGCATATCTGATTATGTATTTCATGTGGCTTATTATGTTCACATTCCTTTTATTGAGATGCTATCAAAAGAGAAGTTGTGGCCTTTATTAGGCAACTTGTAAAAGGAATGGAATAATCAGTAGGAGCTGAATGAAACCAAAGAAATCAACCATGCTATTACTAAAAATACGTCTGAGTTACAAAGCTGGAATCTAGGACCAAATGTTCCCAAAATTTGGACATTCACATCCAAAAGTGTTTGGTTTAGCCATGCATGTAGACAGTTGCTATGCAGAAGATATATTAGTCCTTTAGTTTGGCTCAGGGGGGCACTCTGAAGCAAACCTACCAATCATTCCTGTTAACCATGCTTTGATTCACATCAAGGGGCAACTTCAGAAAGTATGAAATGGATTCTTTTTACATGAAGCATGAACTAGAAGATGTGATCCAACATAGTAGGAAGCTTTCAGGCCATTTGATCAGACTGAAGATAGTCTAAAGGAAAACACTTTGAAACTCATACACTCGGGCATAGAGTCTTAGGTGTTTCACTGTGCAGATCTCCTCCTGGGCTTTGCTACATGCTAATATAGACATAACCACAGGATTGCTAGGAGATCAGAATTCATTTTCACATGGTTCCCTGCAGATTAGAGCTGGAGTTTTCAATTGGAATGCTTTAATTATTACATACTGTGTAATAGAAAAAGGAATTGCTTGTCACTTTTGGTTGTTTATGCTGATCCAGTCTGTTTATCTTCTGTGTTCCACAATACCTTTTCCACGTACTTTCCCCTCAAGCCTTGACTATACATTTCACCTTAGTTTATCTTTCCTTTCTCCATAATATTTTATTTAAAGATCTGTGATGTCATTTCTAAATGGGAACAAGCCTTAAAAGAACTGCATCCTGGGAAATATGAAGGTGGCACAAGAATTGTGAAGTTGACCTATAAGAACAGGTACTGTGCTTTGTTGGTTGCTCTCACTACTGCTATTAATCAAACATTTCTAGACTGCATATATCACTGTAGATGTCCAGTAATTTATAGTACTGTTAGTGCCAAAACTTTTAAGTTAAGATGGGTTCAAATCCTACATGAGATGTGATGACTTTTGTGTGTAGTACATGTATAAAAGAAGGCATATGGCCTAGAAGTAAAACCAAAACCACTTTGCAATAGCAGAAGAGACTTAAAATGAGTTAAGAAGTAGCTGTAGCACAGTAAGATATACTTGGCACAATTTAATTTGCATAGATCCTAAAGTGTAATTAAATAATGTGTGTTAGGTGAGAGGAGGAGAGACCTGAGGGAAAAATCACCAGTGAAAACAAATATGCTGAAACTTGCAATTAAGTGAAGAATCACAAAGATGAAAAAGATATAAGAACAATACTCTAAATAGCTTGAGCTGTAGAAGAGACACGTAGCAGCAGTGCCCAGACTTTATAAAGAAAGAAATGTTACAAGTTAGATGATGAGAGATGGTAGAGAAGTACGAGACAAAGATCTAAACCAAAAATTGGAACAAGTTCATCATTTATAACACAGACATGAATTCTGAATTGTAGTGAATGGAGAGCTGTATACAAGAACAAGGAATGGCTTTCTGCATGTGAATTCTCTTTTCAGGCAAAACAAAGACCACCCAAAAACCAAAAAGAGATAAAGTTCTGTATTGAATGTATGTTGTGGTTTAAGCCCAGCTGCCAACCCAGAACCACGCAGCCGCTCGCTCACTCCCCCCTTTTCCTCCCCCCGGTTCCTGAAGGGATGGGGAGGAGAATCAAAAAAATGTAACTCCCACAGGTTGAGATAAGAACAGTCCAGTAACTAAGGTATAACACAAACCACTGCTGCTGCCATCAGTAATAATAATGATAAAGGAAATAACAAGGGAAGAGAATACAACCGCTCACCACCCGCTGACCAATACCTAGCCCTACCCGAGCAGTGCTCTAGCCCTTCTGGGTAACTGCCCCCAGTTTATATACTGGGCATGATGTGCTGTGGTATGGAATACCTCTTTGGCTAATTTGGGTCAGGTGTCCTGTTTCTGCTTCCTCCCGTCTTCCCCTCCTCCCTGGTAGAGCATGAGACTCAGAAAGTCCTTGGTCAGAGTAAACATTACTGTGCAACAACTAAGAACATCGGTGTTATCAGCGCTGTTCCCAGGCTGAAAGTCAAAAGCACAGCACTGCACCAGGTACTAAGAAGGAGAAAAATGACTGCTACTGCTGAACCCAGGACAACGTATGAAGATCTTGTTGATTGTAATGGTGGAAAGAGATTTCCGTCACCTTCAGTATAACAGAGGTGGAAGCAGAAGTTATTGCTTTTGACCCAGAAGACAGTATTTATTTCAGGGATGAAACTTTGTGGTATTTTGTTGGACTGGAATGTGCCTAGGCTGGACACAAGGATGTTTTAATAAGGTCTTTCCAAGGTTGGGCTGTTCTAACACCAGGAACTCTAATAAGACGTGTAAGGTCAATATGGTCCTAATGGTGGTGTTAATCTTAAAATGAAAATAAACTGACCCACTGGAATGATTATATTGTGTTATGTTGTGGGATACATATAGTACTATGTTGTGGAGTATATGTAGTATACATGTAGTATATATTCCACGGTAGTGGAATATAAAGATGCAGCTTTAAATTGATAATTGAATTAGATTGTGTGTTCTGTAAATAGGCATGCATGAGGTTCTAGAAGCATTCCCCAAGCTGGTGTCTTCAACCTCCACTAGTCATCTTACTATACTGGGTCAAAGAATTGCATGCGTGAAGGGAATAAAAACAGTCGGAAGCTTTCACTTACAAGAATGATTCCTCAATTTTTGAAATAAAGGCTGCTAATTGGTCATCTTCTTCCTGCTGAAGCAAACTGAAGACTTTTTAAAATAAGAATAGTAGTGTAAGTGCTCAAACCAAAGCTGGTAAAAATTACAAGTCTGTAAGACCTCTATGTAGAAGTTTATACATGTAAAGCAGAGGTAGCTCTGTATTCTGCGATAAGCAGAGAAGACCATAGTTTAAATATTGCCTGTCTGTGCTTGAAGGGGATGAATCGACACCAATTTACCTGTGTTTAATAAGGCTTCCCTATCTTGAAGTGACTGGCTTACAGAATTCAAATGGCTTCCAAAGATAGAAAGCATGTTTGAGTCTCCTTGCCCAGATCTTGTTCGTAAGGGAAGCATCTCAGCTTCCAAATCTCTGTTCCAGTACCCCTGGAGAAAGAGGGCAAAGAAAAAAAATCACTCTTATTTTTTACTCACCTTGATTAAAGTTTCCACCTCTACTTTCAGTTCACAATATCTTTCTATCTTCACAATCCTCTCTATGTTTTAGGCTGTATTTTCGAAGCCAGGCCAAAGGTGAGACAGACCGTGAGCGGCTGCTGCTGGCCTTCCAAGTCAGCAATGAAATAGCCAATGGAAGGTTTCCTGTTAATAAGGAATTAGCTCTGGAAATGGTGGCTCTGATGGCTCAGGTGAGTATGGTTATGGGCAGAAATCCTCTCTTTTGTCTTCCATGGACTTCAGCTGTGCACTGAATGTCTTTGACTAAGCAGCTGTCTTTTACATCAGAAGTGTTTGTTGTTTTGGTTTTTTTTTTACCAAACATAGTCTGAGATGTACCATGCCAAACACATTATACCAGCTTATGTATGTTGCTAGAACACCTCTTGCTGTAGAGAAATGTGCTATAGGAGTGTCTCTCCTTTCTTTCTGAAGAAAAATACGGAGTTTTTTTCCTTCTTTTTGAAGAAAAATATGGCTGGAGTATCCCCAGTACTGCTCCAATTAGTAGTGCCTTAGTAGAGATATGGAAATGGTATCACTACTAAAATTCTATTAATAGTAAAAATTTTTCCTCTTATACTGCCAATAGCCCCTTAGGAAGAGCATCAGGTAGGATCCTCCATTAGATCTCCAGGCTTTCGTTAGCTTTTTATCAGATAAAAAACACAGTATGGGTTGTGGGCATGATAAGCAGGATAATAGTTTCTTACTTTGCTGAAACTGGTTGTGTCATTTATTAAAAGTGTAAACTGAGATGAAGAAGCTGGGAATATTGTCCAAACTAGAAACACACAGTTGTTCTAATTGGCCAATTGAAAATAACCCCAAAAGCTTAGCAGTTATACAGAAGTGTCTCCCTACAGTAAGTAGCTGAAACAAGATCTTGCTTCATTGTCTTAGATAAGTAAAGAATTCCCTGGGCAGTCATGTCTCAGTAGTTGCTCTGTTGTATACATTTACTATGGTAAATGCTGCAGACAAAATTCCCCAGCCTAATGGCGTCTTTTGGCATGACTAATAGACACAGGAGTTATCAGTATGGGAATTCATGGAATGTTCTACTGCACTACCCCATCCTGTACTCCCCACCCCCATAGTTCTGTTACACTACAAACTATAATGTTGTCTTAGGTGGAATATGGCGACTTGGATCGACCAGGATCTTCAAGTCCCGGGGGAACATCACAATGGAAAATGCAGCACCTTCTCCACCAGGTCTTAGATAAGTTCTACCCCAAATGCTACAAGCAAAACATTACTTCGGAACAGCTCAGGTAAACTGTTGCTTCTTCTATACTTTGCACTGAAAACAAATTTTATTTGCAAAATTCTGTCTTTAAGAAGTTTGAAGGATCCCTGTGAAGATTATTTGATGTAGAAACTTAACCACCAAGTGTCAGGAAAAGGTTCCTTTAAAAGAAAATAGCAGTTAACTGTTATAAAAAGAGCCAAATCACCAACTAATTTTCCCTTAGACAAGAAGTTTAAGCCTTTCACTTCCAAGTCGGGCATCTCAGTTCCAACAAACCCCATCCTAAGTGTAAGATGAATTCTGTTTCTGAATTTTTGTTTTACCCTTCCCCCAAGTGTCAACTGTATCGAGATGCCAAACATTTGCAACCAGCCATAAAGCCAGCACATACGGGCTGCTTCAGGCCATGCAGTAATTCTGGTAGAACATACTCTGGCAGGGCTTTTTGACGTTCTGTCTTAGGAATTCTCACACACAATGCAGAGACCTCCAGTACTCAAGTACATAATTCAGATGCTGCCATGGATGCCAGCTAACTGTTTTAAAGAGAGAGAACAGTCATCTTACAGATCCAAAGCTACTTAGGGATGCAGTGATGGAACTAACATGATTTCCTCCTTTTGGAAGCAATTTCATTTGCATGTAGCAAGATAGCTGCCAAACCATCCCTATTGAGCCAAATCAAGAGTGCATTAATATATTGCCAATCCACATACAGCATACTACAGACAAGTTAGGATGTTAAAGTGAGAGTATAATTGAATGTGAAGATAATCTGGACAGGATTTTACTGTAACAGCTGCCTGAGTGTTTGTAGCTACAGGTGTTTAATATATACACCAGTGAGCAACCCATATGTGACTGGGATTCCTGGGTATTACAGTATACTAGTAGTAAAATAATGATGGAAGAAGAGAAAACGCTAAAATAAACTGAGGTTGTGCAACCCTCATAACTGTCAGTGCTAAAAGCCCTGTCCTTAATGCTGTGTAGAATGGCCTTTTTGGAATAAGAGGTACATTTATCAACTATTATATTTGACTCACCTTTCCTTGGAAGACATTAGTAAATAATGCTGTCTTGTGTCTTGGCTTCTGTAAGGCAACTGGCTGACAAGTTGGCAACAAAGTGGATGGTGCTGCAGGGATGCTCTCCACCAGAATGCATTCGAATTTATTTGACAGTGGCCCGCAAATGGCCTTTCTTTGGAACCAAAATATTTGCTGCTAAGGTAACTAGAACATGTTTTTTTCTGTTCCTGAGAGTGAACTGAGTAGAGCTGTATCTATGGTCTCTGTTTACACCAGTTAAAAGTGCTGCTTCTTCCGGAAGGAACAAAAAATGAACAAGACTCTGGTCTGAATGATCAGGTCTGGTACCACATACCAGAAAGAAGGTGCCACTTTAGAAAGAAGGAAGAGAAATATATTCTAAACACTAGGGTTTGCTAGTATTCAGTAAATAAATACTGAAGGTTCCCTGACTGCATCAGCTGATCATTATACAGGGTACTAGCTCTCCTTATAAACCTTGCCAAAGCTGGAATTTCCCTGGTCATCAAGGCTGCAGTGATAGTTTAAAAAATACTATTTACATACCACTGGGGGAGTGGAAGGGAGAGTCCCCCGTAAATCACACCCAGCAGCTGATGCTAGCTAAAAGAAGAATGGATACTTTCAGTCCTGTTGTCTACTTGACACAGAGAGCTGGTGTAGCTTTCCTTGCCACACTAGAGTCAAGCAGTGCTAATGTCCTGTTGCAGAAAGAAAAACAAGCATGTATTGGGTAAGCTGCCAAGCCACAGGCATCAGTAGGAGAGCTAAGGACAGCTGGAGGGCGTGCTTCTCCCAGTAGCTTGTTCCATCCCTCAGGATCTGTACCTAATGCCCTTGCCTGAATTGATGTTTTAGCACATAATGGCTCTCTGAAAAATTGTTTTGGCATCAACTGTCTTCCCAACCAAGCAGAAACCTCCTCTGTTGAAAGCTTGAGATAAATCTTGTTCATGGTTACATGTCTCTTGCTTTGAAGTCAAAGCCACTGTTGTTATGGAATAAAGTCTAAGGATGAAAGGGACCTCTTGAATAAATATACAAGAAGTTTTAAAAAAGACAGTTATTTCCACTGTCAGGAGTAAAAGCAGAAAATGTTACTTGTCCTTGAGGTTACCACAGAAGAACTGGAATATAGAATAGTTCCACATAGAGTTTAAATAATGTTGATCTTTCTGATGATTGACATATTTTATAACTTTTCAATAGCTGAACAGCAAAGACTATGGCATTAGCCCAAGTAATAGCACATTCCCAGGGAAGACTGATGTCATTGGCCATAACAATCTTTATCTTTAGCAGATAATTGATGCATATTTGTCAAAATCTGCAAGAAAGAAGACTGCTTTGATGTGATGGTACTGGGTGTACTGGTATTACAGAAACCAACCGACTTCACTGTGTGCCTGCCTGATGAAAGCAGTACAAGCATCAGGGCAGAGCAAAACTGCTGTTTTATTGCTCTATCCTAGCACTTGCTTCAGCTTTAACTACACTGGTGGAATTTAATGAATCTCAAGCCATCATTATCATTGCATCTCTTGTGCCAGTAGTCCCAAAATTCTACATAAATCTGAAAGTTATTCCAGTTTTTGAGAAAAATCCTCTTAAAAATTAAACCAGGTCAGACCAGTAAGCCTACAGGATTCTCTCTCATCTTCACTTTATCATTAAACCCCAAGATTTATGTCAGAAACATATTTATGTGGTGGTCAAAAAATATCTAAATTAATTTTCTTTCTCTCTAGCCTATTTTGCCTTCCTCATTAGAAGACTCTCCAGTCTGGATAGCTGTGAACGAAGATGGTATCAGCATACTGGATTATAACACTATGGTATGGGTGAGGAACACTGAAGCAAAATAACTTACCTCCCACAGAAAAATAGCCCCTTGAGTCCACTGAAAGTTTGTCTTTAACTTCAAGTGGATCCAGAAGTTAATTTGTAGAAGTCAGAGATGAGGGAAGTCAGTACTATGTTTGAACGCTACATAAACAAAGGAAAATTACAGCTACAGTGCAAGGTAGGGTTTCATGAAACAGCTAACTGCCTCATTAATGGGCAGTAAACGCGCAGACATCTTGCAAAATCTCAGTGATACGTGCTTTACTAACACCATCTGAGATATAACAAAATTTGGACTATTGCTCTGAAGAGGAGAGGCACTGAGCAAGCTAGGAGAAAACTAGAAATGCCGTTCTCACTTGAGCTTCCCCTACCAGCTATTACCTATAAAGCTCATTATTTACGCTGCCTATTGCTGCTGAAGATCTGGTTTTCTTGCCAGATGTAGCAAACATTAGTTTAAGGTGACGGTTTTTTCTTTTACAGAACTATGACTTTTTCAAACTCTCTGTTGTCTACAGCACTTGAAGGTTTCTTACTCATATTCCTCTGTGCTGACCTTTGGAGGCTGTCGAGAAGACTTCATGATTGTAGTCAATCAAATGAAAGAAAGGTGTTCTGGAAAAAACAGCACTGAAAAACTGCTTTTCACAATGGCAATTCCAAAGGTAATTACAACATTAACAGTATTGTTCTTTCTAGATGGCAGCATCACAGCTGGGCAATTTGTGCAAGCCCCGAGGACTGGTACATATGGCTGCCACACTAGCTGTATGCATTCAGTAAGTCCCTGTAAGCTGGAGCCTTTAATCAGGAGATTTTTTCTACCTAATTCTTAGACATACTGTCGTTTCAAAATGGAATAATTGCATGTGAGGAAGCCATTTGCAAAAGTTAAGCAGTCAACAGGTTCTAAAAATCAAAGGGCACTCTTACCTCTAATTGACTTACAGTTAATCATTCTCTGTTTTCCTAGATTGTTGAAGCAACACTTCTTATTGCCAGCTATATTAACTGCTGTTCGACACCTTCATTCCTATCTTCTACACAGCCCTCCCGAAGCAAAACGCCTGCCAACAAGCTCTGGGAGACTGAAAATAGGTGCTTTCTTCCTCCCGTGCCCCAAAACACCAAGGGGCCCACCCTGCGCTGAGGGCTCATTCCAAATTAGTTTGGGGCTTTTTTGTTTGTTTGGATTTCTGTTTTTTTTTTTTTCCCCACTGCTGTGTACCAAATAGCAGACTGCTACGATTTTGCTGGTTACACACATTAATTTAATGTGGGCTCTGATTCTTTTTGCATAATAATAGACAAAGTTCCTCGGTGTGGGTAGAGAATGTCTTCTTAAAAAAAACACTGAATGAGGGGACTGTGCAGGAGTTTCCTTTCCATGCCACATTCCATCCAAAATACCATGCCTCAGGTAATTTGCCTGCATAGTGCTCCAGTCACTTCCTTGCACCCATTCTTCTTCCATCTCCTGATCTTACTGCTTTGCTTACAAGCACGATTGTGCACTTTGATGACTGCCATTTTCAGTTTTCAGAGGACAGAAACTTTCCAATTCCTTGCTCCAGATGTGAAAGGAAGAAAGAAAGAGAGAAAGAACGAAGACACTGTTGAGAAGAGGAACTAAACTGACAAGAATAATTATGATGCAAGTCAAGGGTAATTTCAGACCTGACATAGAGATATAAAGTAAGAGTTCAGTGGTACTCAAGAATTTATTTTCAACTTTAAATAAAGGGGGAAACCTACTGGTTTTGCATATTGAGGACTCAGACTGACTGGGACTAGAACACTGTCAGATGATACCCTAGCTCCTATAGGGTCGATGGGAGTCGATGCTGTTCTACACAGTAGATGAACATCAGATCTCTGCTGCAATGTGTCATGTGCTCCACCATCAGACAAGGACTTTCAGAGACTTTTTCTGCAATCACTGCTGTAGATATTTCAGGGTGTGTTTGAAGCTGCACATCATCTCAGACAATGGAAGACAAGGCAAGCAAATTTTGTACTTTTTCTGTCTTTCAGTAACTGGAACAGATCATTCCAAATCAGCTCTGCCATTCTGACTTAACAGAAGCTGCTCCTTTCAAACTCCTGCTTCCTTCATGCTACCATAGCAAGGAGGAGATAGTCAGCAAATGTGTACTCAAGTATTTTTCTTCTGCCTTTCCTGAAGACTTTTTTTTTTTTTTTTCAATTCTTCTTGAAACAATCTATATCTGCCTGGCTTGAGTTCAGCTATTTTGATAAGCATTCTAAAATAACTGCACTTTCAAAAGTACCATGTGCAACTTCATGGTAATTATGCATTCATGGGCAACTTTCCCAAATTAAACCAGTGTGAATCCAACCATTAGAAAGAATTCAGCAATAGCAAACTAAAGCTATTCACAAATGAACCAACCAACCATACCAGCTTTTTCACTCCCTTCCACCTGCCTTGAAACATCCAACTAATGCACACAGCAGGGCTGATACTTCATGAAGTTTCTGTTTCATGCTTATGATGGGTGCAAAGCTACAAATTAAAAGAGAAGAACATTGGACAGACAAAAGTAATTCTAAACCATCCCTTATCAGCATCTTTGTAACATAAAAAAAAACTACCAAAACCAAACCCACACCAGAAAAAAAATCCCACAGAAAAACCACCCCATAGTGGGTTGTGGAAACAATATGGCAGGAAAGGATTGTATGAACACAAACCTGATTTACACATACTGTCATGTATCCACTTGTTATGAATTTGAAGAGCATCCCTTGAAGATCTGGAAAAGGGTAGAAGCTTTCTGAGCCAAAAACAATGTTGAGAAGGTATTTAGTCTTTTTTTTCTTTTTTTTTCCTTAGATACTTTTAAGTGACTGTATATCCTGATAGACTGTGTACATATTTTCTCTCTCACACACACACATCAGTTGGAATACAGAGAGCATTATTCCTCCTCCCTCAGTCACCTGTGCCTGACAATCCCTCCTCTACCTGAAGGTCTGCTGGCAGCCTGCTGCTTGTATCCCACCAGTAACAAAGCTGCGTCAACATAAGCTGTGCTGCCATCAGTCCTGAAGATGTTCAAGGCATAAACGTCTCCAGCTCACAGTTCAGAGGCGTCAACACAAGCTGAGCTGCCATCAGTGCTGGGGATGCTCAAGGCATAAATGTCTCCAGCAAACAGTTCAGAGGCTGTACTTGCCTTACAGTGCTAACACTACTGTCCTTAGAGACTTGTACTGGGGCCAACAAGGTGTTGAATAAGCAAGAGCTGTCATGAAGCTCAGTATTTTCTGCCATAACTGCACTTTAAATAGATAAGTGTGACATACTTTTCTTCTTACTTCTTAAAAATATTCACTAATACTTGAGTATTTCAGGGACCACCCCACTCAGATGGATGCACATACAACCCTGACTATTCTATGATTCTACGATTTATAGCTCACCTGATTTCAACCAACCAATCCTCCACAGATACCTATTTTCTGTGATTCTTTGGTAAACTATTTTTATTTTAATCAATGCTTCTGGCAATGACTATTGCGCAGCATAGAATGAGATGACAAAAGCCTTTGTTTTCCTAACTGCTGTGTGTATGTAAAAGGCTGGGAGATATCGTGAGATTTCTGTTTGTTCTTAATAAAATGCAGTTATCACGAATTCAACTGTATTATTCTCAGAATGAAGAAACTACTTTAAAACCCAAAATATGTAAACAAAATGGAAACAAAAATGGATGACGATTGTGTTTGGTATCCAGGCACATACCTGATGGAAACCTGCTCTAGTCTTACTCTTGTTTCTCTCTGCTTATGATCTCTTAGCTTTAGTGGAAAACTAAAGCACACTCCCTTGTGCACAAAATGGTCACTTCTTCACAAGATATCTAAAATCTTCAGGCTTCCTCCTGTACACAGCTATTTGATCATTTCTGCAGTGCACATTCTCAGGACTTTGTGGGACTTTTACAGTATAGTCGATGTTCCCAGCACACTTGAGCCCAAGACTCTGACCACTCTGCTGAGACAATGTTTTCTAACATGTTCTCCCCATGGCTCAGTGAATCTTCCTGCTGCCATACTGCTGATCAAGGGCCTTGACCATTTCTCCTCCCCATGAAACAGCACAACCTGATCAAACCATGTTCTGAGCCATATGCAGCTCAAGTGTACCACATGGTTCTTAGTCAAGGGACCTCTACCGCGGTCATTTCCACAGTCACGCACCCAAGGCCTGCTGCCTCTGTTAATGGCTGATTTCTGCCCTTGCCCCAACACCCATCCTTTGCAGTTCTGCCTGGACTTGCAACCAAACACAGTTTGCATCAGGGTGCAGCTTCACTAACTCCAGAGAGACCTATCAACTTACATTACAGCAGCACTGGAATTAAAAATTTGGCCAACCCCAAATTGTGAAGTATTTATGAGAAAGAAAACCATAAAAAATGAAGTAACCTAGACAACATTACCTCAAAGCCAGTGGCACACCCCCTAAGCTGCTGCCTTTCACTTGGACGACCAGGATGCTTCCCCTGCCATGAGCTAACCTGTGTCTTGCAAGCTTCATGGTACCGTGAAAAAAAAAAAAAATTAAAAATCACCTTCTCTCTCCCATATTGCATGACAGAATGTGGCACGTTTTAATTACAGAGGATGTAGACAAGCATAGTACAGCATTGTCTGCAAATTAAGCATGACACCAGACTCCTGCCAACACACTGGTTTAGCTCTTGTTTTGAAATTTCAATTCTCAGCTACATTAGTAAGGAGTCATGGAAAAAAAAAAGAGAGGAAAATACCAGCTAAAGATTACAGTAACTTTCAGCTCATCAACAAAGAATTTCCCAACCTTACCCCTGAGAGCACAGACCAATGAAACTTCATTCATACAGTCATTACCATTATTTTCACCAATGCATTTTCCTCATATTCTCAGAGCAATTGATGCGGTGCTTTTAATGCCACTTCTGTTTCATGTCCTGTGTCACCATGCCCCTGCCTCAGTCAGCAATGTGTCTACTTATGTACTTAGAGAAGTTCATCTTATTGCCTTTGACATCCATCAACAGATTCAAATCCAGGTGGGCTTTGGCTTTCCTAACTGCATCATGGGAGGTGTTGCTGTATTCCTCCAAGGTTATCTGTCCCTGCTTTCACCAGGGAAGAAGCTTCCAAGCTTCTGTATGCTGCCTTTTTGTGTCCTGAGTTTCACCAGGAGCAACTTATTCATCCTTGCAGGCTTACTGGAATTTCTGCTTGACTTCCTGCTCATGAGGACGGACTGTCCTTGAGCTTAGAGGTGGTGATCCTTGACTATGATCAGCTTTGTTTGACCCCTCTTACCTCCAGAGCCCCTTCCCATGGGACTCTTTCAAGCAAATCCCTAAAGAGAGCAAAGTCTGCCCTCCTATGTTTATTTCATTAAACATAATATAGTGCAACAGCATATTTTAATTTTCTGTTATTTTTTTTTCTGAATTTCTGCTGTGTATAAGGAAGTTACTATCCCAGCCCAAACATCAACTTTGGTATTTAGAGTGGTACATGCTTTTTTCAAACAAAGGGTTAAACAGAAACAAACAAAAAAGCCTATTTTTGGTAGTATGGCGAGGGTTAAATTATTATTTAAGCATAATTTTCAGATTCACAAAAAACTAAACATCTGACTCATATTCTTGCCTCCCTTTGCCTTATTTCCCCATAACTCTTTCCTGGAGAGGCGAGGAAAAAAAAAACTTCTGTCTGAGTCTAAAAAGTTCTGATTACCTGTCTTCAGAGCAGAGGATTTCAAGGTTCGCTTCTGTGCTGAGCTGCCATTTTCTGTAACAACTCTGTGAGTCTGCAGGCCTTTAGCCTTAACATCACTGTACTTATGCACCACTCATGTAAATATAAAAAGCCACAGGGCAGTTTTGTGGTCACTTTTCCATGTGTTTCTCCGAGTCCTGCTCCAGGTTCACTGCCTTGATGTTTTAAATTGTTTTTACTATTTTATTCCATTTGATGGTGGAGCTGGCTTCCTCTGCTCCAGGATTTCTTGACAACTTTTGTACACTTCTATCAAGCAGTCCAGACGTGGCTTGGAGCTCTAGAATTTAAGTGAAACAACAAAGGATCAGGCTCTGAACTGGCTGTAAAAGAGCTGGAAAGCTTTAACTTCCCACTAGTGAGACTCTCAGGCAGAGAAAGGAATGTGGAGATGGCTGACTTAAAGCTATCAGAATATGTATATGTATGCATGTGTAAGGAATGCAACAGCAAGGTATCTGCAGCTGATTAGCTTTCTCATGTTAAGTCAATGTCAAAGAATAGATTTCCCTTTTACATGTTTGTTGAGAAATAATCTGTCAAACTCCAAGAGGTATTTGGTGGAACTGCTGATACAGCAATGCAAAGCCATTCCATAATCCACACCTGCTCTGTGACCTGTCCCTGAAACTGTCGGGTCAAAACAGGCAGCACCATTCTGCAGTTAGCCTGAATCTGTCACCAAACCAGAAATCTTCCCCTTCCACAGCTCACTGCTCACAGTAACAGCATGGGAGAACATCCACACCTCCCAGCCCATCAACCCATGTATTGGGCCATACTCCCTCTAGACCTATCAAACAGCAGATTTCCACACACCAATCCACCCTCCTAGAAGACATTCACCCTGAAAAACCTACCTTCAGAACAGGGAATTTAGACACCTGGCCCTTGGCCTCTGCTAGTATTGTCAAAAGGACACTGGAAGGTTAACTAGCAACATTAATTCATTTCATACAAACAGCCAATGGTGGTCAAAGTATAATGATTTTCTATCACTTCTAACCTGGACCACACTAAAACCAGCAAGAAGGTGAAAGTTTCCCAGTCCCACAATCCCTATAATCCCCTGACTTTTGAGCTCCCAAAACAGCACTACTGTGTAAAGTCCATCAAACACCTCTCCTTGCAAGTGTTGCTTAAGAGAACGATAGGTCAGTTCAGCACAGAAGTGCTCCTGGGCTCAGTGACATGGTAAATTGTATTTACTTAGACGAACTCAGTCAAGGAGATGCAATAAAGTTACTAATTACTGCTCCTTCAAAACTAAGTAACATACTAACTTGCACATTGAAGTGAGAATTACCAGTGCAAGCTCACACAGTTCTCTCTGTACCTCTGCTGCTGGTGGAGTCAACGCTACCAATGCCAAGATACTTCCATGAAAATAAAACTGTTCAGCACTGAGCTATAAAGAAAGGAGAAACTACACAAATGCCAGGTAGTCTCTCTGAAGCTGGAAAAGAGCATGTATAACTAAAACCAGCTTCCTGATTGCAGCTCTCTGGAGTTCATTACTTGCTGGTTCCCAGCAAGTCCATTTTTTTCCCTTGACTAAATGTGAAATAATTTGTATTACTGTTAATAAACGTCTTTACAATTGTGGGACTGAGTTAGCAGCAAGTATAAATGGAATAGTCTATTTATATCTGTAAGTGTTTAGCTGGAGACTGATTGTATCTAGTCATAAACTGGATGTGGACTACAAAATGACAGCCACAAGCAGCAGGTGAAGTAAGAATGATAGAGAGGGCCATAAACTTCAGCAGTCCAAGATGTGAGGTACCTCTGTGCTACTTACCACCACTCCAGGATCAGGGCATTGTTGTGTTAGGTATGTACATGCAAAAAGAAAATCCATCCCAAAAATGGGATTCGGAACAGTCAGCACAAGTTAGTAGGATATGAGAAAGGGGAGTGTAATGGCAAATCAAACAAGTTATTATACATTAAGTGAATTGCTTACAAGCTTGTACTGTGATCTTTGTCAATGGGCGAGACGGGGCAGTCATTCTAATGCCAATAAGGTTTTATGACCACTTTTGGCATGCTAGGCTGAGAGAAAATCAACTGCAGCATAGTGCCATAGTTATGGTGGTAGCAGTGAGCATAAGATTACACATTGAACTGTGAGCCAAAGATTCCTAGTTCATGCAGGCTTGTGGTTGGGTCCAGACTGACACAGCTCCCCGTTCTCCGAATGGAGAGCAGATGCAAAAAACATTCTGGTATGTAGTTCTATGAGACTTCTAACACCACCCACCATGATGGCCTAGTCTGGAAAGGCAACTGTAATCAGCTACTTTAGTGGAATAAAGATAAGCTTCAACTGGCATGCACAAAGACAACAGATCTGGATTTCTGCACAATTCAGCCAAACTCACCTGAAAGAGTGGCACAACCTCAGACACTCCCTGAGGATCTCCAGGGTCCTGAAGGAGGATGCACAAGTAGTAGATAACTTTTTGCTACAGGACAAACAAGACAAAGTCACTGGAGTTTGAAAATGTTATCAAAGTGCCTGGTGTTATCACAGAAAGATGTGTTTCAACTCAGTGCACTGAAGGCCAATCACCCCAGGCTACAGTCAAGTCTACAGATTTGTATCTACAGCTTTCCTCCCTTCAATCAATAAAAAAAAAAAAAATTGTACCTGTGCTCTTTCCTATTAAATGTTTAACCTGAAAACAATACACACATGCTGGAAGGGTAAGGTTTGCTTTTCTACAAGAGCCTCGCAGAAAACCCCAGCAACCGGAAAAATAATCTCCTGTGTTGTCTATCTTCTTATCTCTGTCTTGACTACTTGTGGAGTTTGGCACCAGGATTTGTAAAAACAGTATAACACAAAGAACTAAAACCACTAGCTCAGTGTTAGTGGCATTATCTAAGGGATGGATTTGATTTTTTGAGTTTGTTTGGCCTCAGTTCTCTTTTAAGGGTGAGAAAACAGATAAGAGACCAAAAGAGAAATCTGAAGCAAAGCTTCAGGTCAGTAAAGCTATGAGTAGTGCTGTGTTTAACTGTTCCGGTTAATCACGCTCATGAAAATATACTGGATGTGAGTGTGCCCACAGATACACAAGAAGAAAAACTGTGCATGATTACCATATGGATAGCTTCATTTATAACCACATCCTTCACACGACTCATCTCAATGAAGGTTGTGCTCTCTTTCCCTGATGCATAGGATGAAGTCACCTGAATGCCGAGTGAGCCGATGACCAACAGGGATTCCTGGTCAATTTTCACAAAGTGCAGGTATATGATCAGGCCAATCAGTGTCATGAAAATAGCAGCAGAAAGCACCATACTATTCTGTAACACAAGCCAAGCAAAGACAGAGCTCTGGTATCACAATTAACTGAACACAGAAGAAGTAATATTGCAATAGTAAATTATAATATTAAAGCTTCAGTGACAAGGTAATTTTTCTTAGGTGGAGTCCTTTTATTCACCTGGCTGGCTGATATATGTGTAATAAGATTTAAATCAGTCTTCACAGTATAGTCTGAAATAATACCTGAAACTGAAAACGGTGACCAAATTCTACTGCCTTGTAAATTTAGTGCAGAAATCTCAGACAAAACCAGGTAGTTACATCCATGACAGTGTATGACACATAAGTCTACAGAGATGATGTCACTGACAGGGAAGTGCTGTGAGATGCTAAGTAGTACTGAGGGTGGAGACCCAGAGGGTAACGAAAATCTTTTAGAAAAAAACTACTGGCCTAGTGGCTTTCTTCTTATGAACTGCAAGTCTATAAACTTGTTCAAACCTCATCTCTCTTCCTGCTTTAAACATCAATCTGAAGAACATTTGCCTTCTCCTGTGCTTCATCTGAAGACAAACATCTTGTGTATGCTCAGTCTTGGGACTGCTGTTACATAAAATAATATAGAACTGCTGAAACTACAGGCAACAGTGAGTCATTTGAAGATGTGATAATAAATGCTAAAGGTCTGCAACTACAACCTATTTCTGGGACATGTTTTGAGAGAGCTCAAGGCCATGTACCCATAAATCAAAGTTATAACTGGTACTTCCTAAAGGACCAGAAGAACTGCATGGTCCTACCACTCAAGCTGGGCCTGTACCACCATGTGAGATAAAGAACCCATGGCCACATTCAAACACAAGGATAAAGGACTTCTCTGAAAGTCTGTCATGGGAAAAAAAAACAGTCATGAATTACAGACACTGAAATCCACAGAGAGACTTTCCTGTCAGAAAGGAAGGACTGCAGTCACTTGCATACAAGCTGCATGAGCACGTGTAAAACCACACAGGAGGCCAGTGGGTGGTAACTACTGGCTGGGGTACATGTTCTTGTAACAGATAAAACTTGAGCCCAGCTTCCCTTCCAACCAGAGAAATGTGAAACATCTTTCTGTATTGGAAGCCTGCCAGCTGACTCACATTGCAATCTCTGCTTTCATTCCTTGGGAAAGATTATTGAAAAAATTGAAGTGAAACAGTCATAGTGCTGATCACAGTGACCAGCTTCTCTGATCAAGCTACTGACTTCAATCGGGAGATAACTGGTCTGAGTCTACAAGCTGGTCATTCTCTGCAAGTATGGGTCACAGATCATGAATCTAAACTAATGCTTTTCGATTTATCAGCAGCTTTTGAAATCTGCACTGCCAAGGTCTTACTGCCCCAGCTGTGAAACATGGGCAAGATGACACTCCCAGCCCAGTGCTCCCTCAGAAAACTCCCTTTGGCAATTAAGAGTCACCTTCTTCAATATATCCTTTATCCCAGATTCCCCCAGCTCATCTCTCCAAGTAGGTATCAGGACTCAAAAGAATGTGCCAGGCATCACTTAACACTCATACCTACATCTACCCTGTCTGGAAAGAGGCTACAAACCAACAGAGGCATCTGAGAAGTCACCAAATTCAACCAGCGCGCAGCCCTTGGGCCCTCAGACTCGGGCTGGCACAGCTCTCTTTTTCACATGCTCACCACCATCTACCACTTCGAGGCACAGAGGAGGCCCAGCATACGTAGAGATCGCTTTTCCACCGGCCCTCGCTACCCTCGGTACCATGAGCAGCTCGGCAAAGGCGGGGTGGCTCCCTTCAGGCAGGCGGTCTCTGGGGACACACGCTGCCACCAGCCTCTCGAATGCCCCCGCTACTGCAGAGGGACAGGGGCTCAGGGGAGCGGCCTGAGCCGCGGAGAGGTCCGAAGGGCGGAGGAAAGGGGAGCGGCCGGTGCGGCGCCGCCTGGCCCGGCCCGGCCCGGGGAGCGGTCGGTACCTGGCTGAGCACGAAGAGCCCGTAGGCCGCCAGCCAGACGGCGGAGGTGACGGCGCTGAGCGAGCGGAGCTGCAGGCGGGGGCAGCGCACCGCCAGCTCCCGGCAGGAGGCGCTGTGCTGGCGGGCCCTCAGCGCGATGGGCCCCCCGGACGCCGAGCGGTACCGCCGCTCCTCCATGCCGGCCCACCGGAACCGCCTAGAGCGGCCCGCCTGGCTCGATGGTACGGCTCCGGCGCACGCTTCCGGCCGCGGGAAGGGATGGCTCTGCGAGGCGGCGGGCGGCTGTGTCGCTTCAACTGCAGCCGCGCGGGCGGAGCTGCCTCTACTGGGCCTCGCGGTCCCGCGGTCCCGGGATTGGCAGCGGGGGAGTCTGCCCGGCTCTGCCCGGCCGGAGCGTGGAGCGCGGCTGCTGGCAGTCGGCGGAGTTACCGCAGCCGTGCGGGAGGGGCCGTGGCTGAGACGAGCTCCGGGAAGCCGTTAAGGCCTGTCTCACTCCCGGCAAATGGCGCCTCCCGGCAGCAAGCGTGCAGCCCGGACCTGCCGTGTCTCCGGTGCCGTTTCACTTGGCTACAGCTGGCCAGGCGGCTTTCCATAACCGAGATAGGCATCGGGAGCTTCTGAGGTTTGCGAGTGTTGTTAATTCACTGCTCGCTTCCTCTGGTTTTTACTAGCGCTTTTAAACGACACAGAATTTAGTGTAGATGTGTATGTTTCATGCCACGATGAAGAGACGGGTTTTCTTCCCCATTTGCCTTCACCAGTACCTGCTACATGCACCTGTGGTTTTGCCTGTACCATCTGTTACTACGAGCTCTTTTGCTTTTACTTCCGTAGTATTTTTTCCAAAGTTTAAAGCAGTATTTTCATGTTCCTTGCTGTCTTAGTACATAATAAATTGGAGAGTTGGCCTTGTGTACAGAGACTTAATGAGCCTTTGCACTGTGTTTTCATTAATACTTTCCAGTTATTTCTTTGCGAGACTTGCCTGGCAGTCACATAAAGCTGCATAAAGCTGTGATTTACAAACCATCAGACAAACTCCTTTGCCCCTTTAGCTTGTTCCCTCTCTCACATAGTCCTCGAGTGTGACTGTTAGCTTTAACTGCAGAACTGTCTTTTCTAGGAGCAGTATCTTCAGAGCACTTTGGTGGATACTGAGTGTATAAACCTGTTAACTTGTGAGAACAGTGAGGGAATCTTTAAGGGATGTGAGAAACCGAGGGACATTGAAGAATCCCTGCGCGGCCTTCAGGAGTTGGTGATGGTTGGCACTAGCAGAGGACTCATGCAGTATGTCCAGGATCTCACTGTGACACAAGAGCCAAGGTGAGGAATGGGCTGAAGCTCTGTAAAGGTGAGCTGGCCTGGAGAGAAAAAAGCAATAGCAGATGATGAACTGCAGAAATGGAAAAGAAAGGAGAAAATATTAAGTTAAAAGAGTAAAAGAATTGTATAGATGGAGTGAAAGCAGAAAGAACCAGTAAATTGAAAACGGAGTTACAAGGTTTCTATAAAGGGAAGAAATGTTTGTAGTGATGTAAGGTCTGAAGTAAATGGGAGCTCTGGTATGACAGGCCAGGAGATGGGGACAGGGAGAAGGGAAAGAGAAATGGGAGTAGGGCATAGAAGAAGAAAAAGCAATGTAAAGACCTAGAAGGTGAGTGACAGGAGGAAAAAGAAGTATGAGGTCCTGGAGGAGTGGTCTCCATTAGCAAGACATTACTGAGGTCCAGAGGGGAGGAAAGGATGTGGAAATCTTAAGAGGAAACAGCAGAAGCGTGTGTTTTAGGTTTTCTTGTGTCACTGGCAAGTCCCAGTTTAACCATGTCTGCACCCTGTCATCTCTTCTTATGAACGCTGTCAGCCTCTCTTCTAAATGTGTGTGTGTGGTTGGGCATTTCACAGTAGGAGTCACCTCACAGAATGGGAAGATGGGGGCAATTACTAGTTTTTAAATCCCTTCTTTATCTGTAATCCTTCGAATATGCTGTGAATAGAAACAGCGACAGCTTTCACAAAGTGTGAATTCTCTCGGGACAGAACAGCCCGAGGTCAGGTACCGGAGGCAGGTGCTGCAGAGGTGGCTTTTAAAATGCTTTATCAAGGTTATCAGGTGAAGAGCATCACCCCAGGTTTTATTCAGAAAGCCAAGGAGTGGCGTTCCTGCGAGGCGGCTCGGTGCGGCCAGCCGGGCAGCTCTGCTGGGGTGCTCTTTTGCCCCCAGCGGCAGTTACAAGGTCCACCATTTCACACCGAGATGCTGCTAGGTGTCTCGCAGCTGCCGAAGGGTGGGTACTGAGAGAAGGGGTAGTCTCTGCGGCCCAGCCTGGCCTCTCGGCAGGGCAAGGAGAGCCGGCGCCTTACCTGGCCCGGGGCACTGCTTGGAGGAGTCCCTGGGGGGCCGGCGGCCCCGCCCGGCGCCGGGAGGGCGGTGAGGCTGCGGTTGGCAGTGGAAAAACCCGGCGCGGAGCAGGGGAGGGCCCGGCGCGGCGTGAGGGGAGGGGAGGGGAAGCCGGGGTTGGGGGGGGAGGGAGGGCCTCCGGGGGCGGGGCGAGGCGGTGGCTGTTGCGGAGGCACCGTTGGCCGGTGCGGAGGCACCGGGACACCCCCCCCCGCCCCCGAGCCGGGCAGTGGCGCGCTGAGCCGCGTGCGCCGCGTGGGGCGGGACACACCTCCGGGCGTGCGCCCTGCCATTGGCCGAGCGCCGCTGGGGTGTGAGGGGCGGGAGGCGGGACCCGGCCGCGGGCCGCGGCGTGTGGGGCTGGGGCTCGTTAAAAGGAGCGAGGCGGAGGCACCCGTGATCCGTCGGCGGCTCCGCGGCTTTCCATCATGGCCTTGTGCCGTAGCTTCGCCCGGCTCCTCAGCAAGCAGGCGGACGCGGGGTTCCAGCTGACCAAGCAGGCGCACTCCGTGGCGTTGGTGGGAGCCCCGCTTTCCAGGGGGCAGGTGGGCACCGCAGCAGGGGGAGGAGGCGCCGTTCGCAGACAGTGCCGCGGCCACTCGGCCCGGCTCTCCCGTGGCGGGGTCGGGTACCTGGCTGTAGGCAGCGCTGGCTAACGCATCCCCTTTCTGTTTGTCTCGCAGAAACGACGGGGAGTGGATCTCGGCCCCGCGACTCTCCGCGCCGCGGGGCTGGTGGAGCGGTTGGCTGGGCTCGGTGAGGCGCGGTGGCGGGGGTGGGATGAGGTGTCGGAGGGGCTGCGGGGCTGTCCTATCTCCCCGTCCCCTGGCAAAGCATCCCTTTAACAGCTCAATTCGGCGAAGCCTGACTCAGCCGCTTGCCGCGAGCTTGGAGGGAGGGCGGGGTGAGGTGGTGGAAACGGTCCCTTGCAATGAATGCCGACACCCCGGGTGCCCCTGAGACACCAGTGCCCGGGGGAGGCGGTGCTCGCCGCGCTCTGCGGCACCGGGGGAGCGGGAATTGCGCGTGCGGCTCCCGAACAAAGAGCGGGCCGTGCCCCGGCGCATCGCCTGCCGCGCTTCCCGGCTTCCCTGGGAACCGTCCGTGTTGGCGCCCCACTGCGTATGGGGTGTGTGCTGGTGCCCTGCTGGCTTAAGAAAAGCTAGAGAAACGTGAGACCCTTTAAAACGTGATGTGCGCTTCGTGCGCCCCGCTAAATACTAGCCTTAACTGTGTTCTTCTACATCGCGCATATGTGTTATTTTTCCGTATTCATTACCAGCTACTTAGCCCGCTCCTAAAAATACTTTTATGCTTTCGAGTGACAAAATTCAGAACTTTCTAGAGAAACCCCCAGATTTGCATATGAGGTCTGGTCTGAAGTTTTGCTGTGGAAACACTTGCAAATAGCACTGCGTGAATGGAAAGTTTCTGATCTTCTCACTGTTAACACTACAGCTATTCAAGCACATCCACGTGTCTGTGTTTCAGCTTCTCACATCTTCTACAAGCTGAGACCTGCAGAAAACTATCACAGAAACAGGACATAAGACATAGAAACTCGTAAAGCTGAACTCTTTCTTGGAGAGTCTTTAAAAAGTGTTACTGAAAATTGTATGATGAGGATGGATTGCAGGGGTGGACCACAGGAAGAACTCTTACCTCCTCTGTGTGTGATTAGTGTTACTGAATGCGTGCAAACATGATTGCCTAATAACCCTACAGTGAATTTCTTGTGTATTATGAGAACTCTTTAAACAAATTATTGTTTTTCTGTGTGGGCTGTTTATTTTTCCTCCCTGGGCTGGCAGCTTTGCCTGGAGTACAGTGATAATAGTGCCATTGCTTGGACTTCTGGGGTATACTGGATTGGTAGTAAAACTTTAGCTGCTTTCTTTGTTTTTTCTAACACTATGCATTTTCTTCTCATACACTGAAGGGAATAGAGACAGTATTATTCTTCTTATTAACTTGGATATTCTATTTATCTGTTACATTAAAAGAATTAATAATTTTCATGGGATCTTGTTGCTTATTTTCCAGGAGCCAGGTAAGTAATACTGCAGCAGACCGGGTTTCTCCTTTAGAAAGAAAGAACATTTATCTAAGACGTAGGGTTTCTGTTCTTCCACCTATATTGGCTACTTCTGAAGCATTTGTGACTGGGGGGGGTGCATGTGAGTGGTTCTTTTTGTTGTTGTATACTCACATTCCCTGCTGGGATGTGAGGGACATATAAACATGATTTTCCTTGCCATTACAAGCTTGGAACCAGGCGTGAGGTTGGCTATTGAGTAATGATTCCCTGTAGAAGAGCGAGGGTGGATTCTGGGTAATCTGAGGAAGTATAGATGGGGGTAAAAAGGCAGTGTTCCTGTAATCATGGAATTGTTAGGGTTGGAAAGGACCTTAAGATTGTCTAGTTCCAACCCCCCTCCCACGGGCAGGGACACCTCACACTAAACCATGCTACCCAAGGCTCTGTCCAACCTGGCCTTGAACACAGCCAGGGATGGAGCATTTACCATGTCTTTGGGCAACCCATTCCAGTGTCACAGTAAAGAGCTTCCTTCTATCTAACTTGAACTTCCCCTGTTAAAGTTTGAACCTGTTACCCCTTGGGCATTCAAATTCACTTCAGCCTGCATAAACTGAAGGTGCTCTGCAGTCTTCTGTAAAATGTAGCATTTGGGTAGTAAGGTACGTGAGTATTTTAATTGTATGTGTACGTGTTACTTTGAATGTTAAGCAACCACATGGCTTTTCATACATTTGTATGCCTGATTTAATGGCTTCCATTGATAGTGTTCAAGCTAAACAGATAGAGTGAGAACACCAGGCTTTTGTTTCTTCTTGCACTGCTTTGCATTTTGCTTTCACTGGCTAGTATTTTTAGGAGGGAATCTTATTGTTTCTTTCACCCTATCCTAATTTCTGTTCTTCCATAGTCCTAATGCAGTATCCTGAGCTGC